GGCCACCGTGCTCGGACTCGTCTGCGCCAGACCATCCGCACCAGACAGCCTGCTGTCCGGGGGCTGGTGTGAACACCCCCCCTCCTCTCGTAGTCGGGGGGGGGGCAGGGCACGAGTGGGCAAGCGTCGGTCCGCTTGAAGGGGTGCGGTTACCGGCGAGTGCCGGCAGAGGGGTCGGCGCGGGGCAGGGTGTGTGAGGGTCTCCCGGAGCAGACAGGCGTCCGCACGTCTGAGCGGCCGAGTGTCTTGGGTGGAGGCTGCGACCCAAAGGGAAAACGGGGGTGGCCGTGGCCGCAGGCCCTCGACCTCCCCCTCTCCCCCCGAGTGAGTCTCCGGCGAACGTCACCAGGCCGCCTCTCCCTCAGGGCGCGGGAGCCACCCGGCACCACTGGCTGCAGCTGGGCCAGCGTGGCTGGGGGGGGGGCACAAAGGCCCCATGCCCCCCCTTCTGTCGTGGGCCCCATGGTCTAGAGGCAGCCACGGCGATGAAGGGGTTACATATCAGAGTGAAGGAGCCGGTGCCTGGAGCTGTGAGCGTGTCAGGGCCTCCAACACGACACCCAGGCGGGCGCAGGGCAGGGACAGGCCCCTGTGCAGAGGCCCCGGAGGCCCCAGCGGCCACATTCACAGGCAGCCCCCAGGTCCAGGCCTGGGCGTCCGGGAGCCGGCGGGGGGAGGGGCCTGACCGCGGAGACCGGCTGGGCCCCGGGGATCCCCCAGCGCGGTTTCCGGCTGACTCTGCAGGAGGCGGAGTGGGGGCTCCCGGCCCAGTTCTGAAGAAGCGGCGGCGCCACCAGCCAGGCCGCCGGCCCCTCCCGTCCTGCGAGACTCCCTCGCAGGCACACAGACCGCGGGGAGGCTTCCCGGAAAAGTCCGGTCTCAGCGGCACAGCCGCCGCCGTGGCAACCCCCAGCCCCGGCCCTCAGGGTCAGCAAGGGCGAGCTCGCTGCCCGCCAACCTCGCGTCCAGTAGGGTCTCCGGCCGCCAGACCCCGACCACGGCCGCCCAGCGGGTCCGCCCTGCCCCAGGGCCTCCTCCGTCCTCACCCGGGTCCTCGGCATCACGCCCCTGGGGGTCCTGCACCTGCGCTGCAGCCCGAGACCCCGAGACCAGACCGCGGCCTGGCCTTGCCGCCGTTCCGCTTCCCCCAGGAGCAGCACCCGAACCAGCCAGCCTGGGCACCCGTGGGCCCCATCGCAGGGGCCTCTGCGCCCCCCTCTGACCCTGGGGACGGAAGAGGTGGTCTGCTGCATCACCCACAACTGCCCCCCGAAAAAACATGTCCAGCCTCCCAATCCGTCTTCTCTCGTGCTGACAGCGCCCCCCCACCCTCCTTCCTAGAAAAACCATCCACGGGGCCCGACCGGGACGCCCTTCTGGCTGCTGGGCCGGATGCTGCCGGACGCAGCACGGGCTCAGTCAAGTCAGTTAGGAGGAGACCTTCGGGTTCCCTCGGTCTCGTTTTGTTTTGTTTTGTTTAGATTTTATTTATTTATTTATTTTTAGAATAAAAGAGGTGAAGGGAGGGAGGAAGAGAGGGAGAGAAACGTCAAAGTGTGGTTGCCTCTCATGTGACTCCCACTGGGGACCTGGCCCGCAACCCGGGCACATGCCCTGACCAGGAATCGAACCGGCGACCCTTTGGTTCGCAGGCTGCGCTCTATCCACTGAGCCACATACCAGCCAGGGCCGCATCTTGTTTTTTCAACAGGGGAGCAGGACAGTGGTCGACACCGGTCCCTGGGCTGGAGTCCCGGCCTGGCCGCGTGCGGCTGCCACCTCCTGTGTGGACCGGCTGAGGCGCCCCCACCGTCCCCGCGGCAGGGAGCTGGGGGCCTCCTGAGGGGCGGCGGCTGCTACTGCAGTGCACGGGGAGCCCGCGGGCCGGGACTTGGGGTGCCGGGAGCCGCTGCGGCTCCTCCTCTCTCCTGTTTCTGCCTCCAGCCAAAGTCTGTTCTCCCTTCCTCCCCTGGTGTCCAGGCTGGGGGGGGCGGGGGGGGAATGGTGGGGAGGCTGCTCCTTTTCAGACCCGAGATTCAATCCCACCTCCGCCCCTCCGGCCCGCCCCAGGCCTCTCTGCCCCTGCCCCCGCCCCACCCTGCAGCCCCCCTGCCCCCTGCCCCACCCTGCAGCCCCCCTGCCCCCTGCCCCACCCTGCAGCCCCCCTGCCCCCTGCCCCACCCTGCAGCCCCCCCTGCCCCCCCGCCCCCCACCCTGCAGTCCCCCCTGCCCCCCTGCCCCCTGCCCCACCCTGCAGCCCCCCCCTGCCCCACCCTGCAGCACCCCCCTGCCCCCCTGCCCCTGCCCCCACCCTGCAGCCCCCCCGCCCCCACCCTGCAGCCCCCCCCTGCCCCCTGCCCCTGCCCCATCCTGCAGCCTCCCTGCCCCCGCCCGCCCTTAGCACCACGGGAGCACTCCCGCCCCCCAGCGGCCGGCCCCCACTGCCCGTGGAAGGAGTCCCTCTGAACTCAGTGTGGCGTCCCCTCTGGTGTTGGCCGTTTGCCCCCGTGTCTTCCCACGGGAAATGAGACCCAGGGGGGGGGAACCGGGGGCACCAGCGGCTGCGGTGCCAGGAGCCGCCGGGGCGTGCACGTTGGCACGCGGCGCAGCCCGAGGGGAGACCCCGCTGGGCGTGAGTCACGCACACATGTCGCACGGGTTTCCTCGGGAAAGGTTGTAGCCAACACGGGAAACGCAGGCGTGTCGGGCGTGCCCTGGACACAGGCAAGGAGTCCCGTGTCCCGGCGTCCGTGTTTTCACAGCACGGCCCTAAGTCAACGAACGCTGTTTGGTTTAAGGTCCTCTTAACTCCGCGTGACCCCCCCCCCCCCCGAAAACTCACCTCCAGGGACAGGCGGGGAGGCCAATCTCAACCGACAACAGGGCCCCGGTTCGCAGGGCCTGCCGACCCCCGCAGTGCCGGCGCTCACACCGTGGCCGGGTGCCGGCTCGCGACGGCTGGACGGCTGTCCACAGAATCTCCCACACCCGCCCGTGGGACTTCTGGAAGGGGAAAGGGCGGTTCGGGCGCCATCTGTGTGGACTGGGGGCCGGAGACTTCCCGCCGATCTTGCTCCGTGCCCTTCGCCAGCCGCGTGACTCGGGGTGAGGGGCCCACCCCTCCCTCGGCCGTGGGCCCCGGACGGAACAGCGCCTGGGAAGTTGGGGTTTTCACGGGTGCGGGTAAACCGTCCCTAGCAACGAAGGGAAAAATAAGTGACAAAACCAGAAAAAAAACCATTTCCTAAGAAAACAGATTTTTAAAAGTTGTGTGCACACTGGGTTTACCGCACCTCCGATGCGGTCAGTGAAATACTGGCTGAGAGCGGACCCCCCCCCCGAGCCAGCCGGGCGCCCCGGGGGCCAGAGGGCCGCGCTCCACCCACGGAGGTGGGGGCAGGTGGGCGCCGCTTCCTCGCAGCTAAGGAAGGTTCTGGAAGGAGCCCGGAGGGAAAGGCCCGGCACGAGAGGATTCTCGGCGTGTGGGTGTAGGTGCACCTGTGAGAGGTGAGGCTTTGTCCACAGCTGCGCCCGGGGGGCCCTTCTTTTCTTTTCTCTTTTTTCTTTTTCCTTTTTTCTTCCCCCTCCCCCTCCCCCGCCCCTCCCAACTGCTGTGACCTCTCAGCTCTCCACTCGGCAGGGGCAAGCCAGGGCCATTAAACGTGCACGTGGGCCTGAGTTTTGGTCAGAGTGGGGACTTGTGGGATCAGTCAGGCCCTCCCGCCCTCCCTCTCCCCGGCGGGCAGGAGGGGTGCGTCTCTCTGCCCCCTGGAGCCAGGCGTGGCCACGTGACTCAGGCTGGCAAACGGGACCCTGCAGGCGGTGACGAGGCCGTCTCCCGTCTCCCGAGCGCGGGTCACCGAGGAAGTGCGTGGTGAAGCGGAACCCAGCCGGCCGCCCGGCGCCCGGGGCGGGACGTGGGCGGTGAACGGGAAGACGAGCGTGTCGGCCCATGAGGCTGGGGGGCTGTTGCTCAGTGACGCCCCCCCACCGACACTGCGGGCCGTGGAGGGCAGGCATCCCCTCGTGGAGGGGCAGGTGCAGAGGCAGCCAGGTGAGGCAGGGGTCGGCCTCACGGACACGAGGAGAGAGTCTTCCCAGACGGAGCGCAGCCCGGCCTGGGCGCTGTTCCTCCTCTCCCTCCGCGGCGGCACCAGGACCTGCCCGCCGCACTCGGGGCTGCCTGGCGGGGGAGGCCGGGCCCCAGGCGCCCCCGTCCCGTCCCTCCGTCAGACACCCGCCGTCCACACGGGGCCGCGTGCCATACCCTCTCGTGGTTCCCTCCCCCATCTCTCCCCCTGGCCCCCTCCCCCTCCCTTCCCTCTTCCCTGAAAAACGAGAGGAACAGCCAGGTGCCTGCTCTGTGCCAGCACCGCACGGCTCTCTGGAAGGCAAAGCCCGAGGGCTGTGGTTGGGCCTCGGAGGAATTTCTGTCGCGTCTGAGCTCCCGGACCAACCGGCACTGCCGACGGGACCCGGCGAGCACTGCCCTCGGCCGGGCGCACAGAGTGAGCGACACACGGGCTCCAGGCACCCGGGGGTGACTCTGAGCCTCCGCAGCTCAGCCCCGGGCTGCAGCCCAGCCCGGACAACACGCAGACGCCCTAGCGTCCTAGCGGGGAGACCCGCAGTCTGCACGCGCCTGGCCGAGTCACAGCTCTGGGAGCGCCGGGAGCGGGCCACACCGTCTCTGCAGACAGGGAAACGAGGGGTTAAACGTGCAGAGCGTGTGAGGAATGCCTGAGAGACGCCTGTGCGCCCCACCCTGTGGGCCGAGACGCAGGCCCTTCCAGCTCGCCCCGTCTCCTCGCCACGGAGACAGCCCGTCGGCCCGATGAGGCCCCGCGCGGAGGTCGCCGAGTGACGCAGTCGACCCAGGAACAGCGCCCGGGGCCCGGGGTGCGGCCGGGGGTGAGCGGCGTTAGAAACCGTGCTGCCGGCGGAGGCCGTCCATGGAAAAGCCATAAACTGTGGCCGGTTAAGGAATTTACCACTTTAATTTTAACGACGTTTCCTCGTGACAAGGCAGAATCACACACAACAAGTGCGAAGAACAGTCGCAGAACGTGCTGTTCTGTTTGTCACTCCGCTCGCAGACTCCCAGGAACGGAACGTGAGGTTCCCCCGGGAGGAACAGCAGCCAGCACCCGTCCCACGGCTGGCTGGCCGGGCGGGCGCAGCCAGGAGCCCCGCCGCCGCCGCGGCCTGGCGTTCAGCCCGGCAGGGTGCAGGCCAGACACTCACACACGGGCTGCGGTGAAGGCACAGCAAAGGTTCCGGGGGCTCCTTTGGGAAATGCCGTTATTTGGAACGAAGAGTTTAGAGTTATAAACCGTGAACGGCTTATCGAGGGCGATTCACGAAGTCGGCCTCGGCCCGCACAGACCCGAGGACGGTCCTTCTCGGATGGCAGTCCGTGTCCGTGCACGCGGCCCGGGCTGGCGGGCGGGACCCACGCTCAGTCTCCGTCCCGGGTGGCCGGGCTCGGGCCCCGGTGGCTCGGGATGGCGGGCAGCACCCGGCTGGCGCGCAGAGGCCCTCCGGACAGAACTGCGGAGGAGACAGAGGGGGACACTCTCAGGGCCGGCCCCTCGCCGCGTCCCCCGAGCAGTGGCGGCGGGAGAAGCGGGCTCTTCCCTCAGGAGCGAGGGCAAGTCTGGGGACCGGGTGGGGGGGGGGCTGGCTGCAGGAGGGGGCTGCGTGTGCACGCGTGTGTGTGTGTGTGTGTCAGCTCGCCACACGCGCTAATCCACGTCCAGTTCGCGCAGACACGAGTCAGGCCCAAGAGGGACTGCCGCGCGGTGGGCGGTGTGGCCGGGCAGAGCCCGCTGGGCGGGCAGCTGTGGGCGCCCCGCCAGCACCAGCGCCCGCCCTCCGCCGGCCCCGAGGCTCCCGGGCTCTGCTGTCGCGCACAGTCAGACGTTCCGGGCTTCTCTCGGGAACAGCACCGCCTGCCTCCCTCCCCGCGTGCCCTCCTGGGGCTGAGCCGAGACCCGCGCCTTCCCTTCGCTCCTGACACGCGGGGCTGGGGAAGGCCGAGCACCTGGGCCCCGCCAGGGACACCCCCTCGTTGGGCCCCCCGAGCCCCGCCAGGGTTTCAGCAGACAAGCGCCTGTCTGCGTTCGGACACCTGAGCCGCGCTTCTGCCCAGACGCGGGGCTGGGCTTGAACTGCACGCGGCGGCTGCGTCCGACCACCCGGAGCTCTCTCCGCACAGACCCCGAAGGGCGGAGGGCCGGGGCCCGGGCTTCTGCGGCGCTCTGCCACCCCGGGACCCCCCTCCCCACCCCCCTTCCCTCTCTGCAGAAACAGAGGGTCCCCCCGAGACGCCCTGGCTCGCTGGGGCCGCCCGGAGAGCTCCGGCACTCGGCCCGGCCCCTGCGCAGCGCGGGCTGGGGCGGAGCAGGCGTTCTGGGCGTTCTGGGCGTTCTGGGCGTTCGCTCTGCGGACGGCTGCCAGTTGTCCGGCGTCGGGCAGCTCCCCCATCCCTCAGCGGCCGCAGTCCGGAGGTGCGGAGGGTGCCTGGGCCTGGGCACGCGTGGGGCCCCGGGGCCGGGGCGGCCGGGACGGGGAGGGAGGAAGGACAGGGAGTCCAGGAAGCTCGCCCGTCCCCGAGGCGGCAGACTCGGCACCCGGAGGGGGCGGTGCTCCCGGCTCCCCCGTCCACTCTGGGAGTCCAGTGACCTCTCTGACCCCGGTCCCCTCTTCCCCGCAGTGGGAGCGGTGAGGGGCTCTGCCCCCGAGGACGGAGTGTCCGGGTGGCGCCCTGGACTCTGCTGGACGACGAGCTCCCCGGCTAACACCCGCAGACGCTCCAGCAGGGAGGTCACCGCTGGGTAGAACCCACGGGTGTTTTGCACTAGGAGACAGCTTTGTGTGCAACATAACGGAGGTCGGTGACGCCAGGAGCACCACCTGTGATGGCAGGCTCCGGTGGACCGCTCCTTTCTGCGGAGCAGCTCCGGCCGGCGGACGCGCAGGGCACAGACCCTCCAGCTGCCCGTCGTGGCAGACGAGCCCCCGCCGAGGGGCCGACCTGAGGGGGGGGGGTTTCCATGCACCGTCCACGCACGGGAGCAGGGACGCGCCGGACACGCCGTCCGTGCGGTCCCAGCAGGAACACCCCCCCTCCCCCCCGCCCAGGGGAGGGAGCAGCTTTCTGGTGTTTGTTTTTAAAACCGAGCATCGCTGAGAAGGACGACGCCATAAGGACTGTCTCCGTCCTGTCCTCTTCTCCTGAGACTTACAAATGCGGGCACGCCCACCTGACAAAGGACGGTAAACCGGAACCGCCCTCGGGCGTGCCCAGACGCGCCGACGCCCGCCCGGGACGGGACGTTCCTGCAGGGAGACGCGCGGGACTCACATTTCTGGTCGGGCAGCGGGGCCAGGCTGTGCCGGCTGAAAGCAAGGTCCCTGACTGTGGCTCTGTCTGGGGACAGGTGGTGGCGACTCTGCCCTGAGGACAAACACATTCGCATCAGCCGTCAAAGGGCCCACCAAGTGCGGGTTAGAAAAGGCAGCACGGGAACCGTGAGCGTGGTTAGAGACCACCCCGGTGACGGCGCTGATGACGGAGCGTGACAGCCACACTTCACTGGATTTCTGCTGTGTGCCCCTCGCTGTTTAAATAGGAGGAGAAGGTATCAAAGGCACTTGGGAATGCACTAGTTTAAGTACAGTCTTAAGGCCAAGCCCAGCGGGCCACCCACACTCTGAAACTTCCAAGGCTGGGAAGCAGAGCAGGTCATAACGTGTCACGTGGCCGTCAGGGCCGAGGTGAGCGCGTGGGTGCTGGGCGGGACGTGTTCTCCCAGCGCGGGGCCCCTCGGCCCCGGCCGGACGCGGGACTCGCCCGAGGGGTCAGGGAGATACCGCCGCCCAGGCCGGTGGAGCGGGCATCGTAGACTGGGATTTGGTCTCTGAGTCACACCTCGACTCGGACCCCGACGGCAGCCTGCCCCCCCGGGCGAGTTCCGCGGCACTTTCTCCCGCTTTTCCAGACGAGGAAACCAAGGCTCAGGGAAATGGAGTGACGGCATGTGAGTGGCCGAGCCAGACGGCGTGGCTCAGAGCCCTGGGCCACAGGGACCCTGCCTCCTGATAAATGAGGGTGACAGACGCTCGACAGACACCCAGCGAACGAGTGCGTGACCGAGCCCTTCCCATGAAAGCGCCTCGCGACCTCGCGCCTCAGCCCGGGAGAGAACCCGCTGAGTCAGGGCGCGGCCAGGCCGGCAAGGCCGTCCACGCCCCCGAAGGCTCCCGCGCAGGCCTCGGGCTCCAGGGACTCAGCGGCCCAGAATGGCTGCCGGTGACCGGCACTCAAAACGCTGGGAGAGGCCAGACGGCGCCTGCTCTCCCTGAGGGCACTGCATCCGGGGGCTCGAGAAAGAAAGGGGGCGTTTCCCGGGCTGGGTGGCCCCGTGGTTGGAGCGTCGCCCCACACGCCCAAAGGCAGCGGGTTCGATCCCCGTCGGGGGGTGTGTGTACGGGAGGCAGCGGACGGAGGGCTCTCTCTCACGTCAGGTCTCTCTCCCTGTCTCCTCCCTCCCTTCCTCTCCCAGGTGCGTGCACATGCCCTCCAGGGAGGATCAGAGACCAAGAAATGCACGCAGAAGATGACCCACCACCATTTTCCCCTGCCCCGCCCTCCCGGCGGCTGCCCCCCAGCCCCTCCCCAGACGGGACCCCGGTCTCTGAGCGGCTGCCGGGAGTGAGGGCGGAGGGAGCCTGCACCTTACCTGCCCACGGGCCGTGCAGCTGAGGGAGGCGGGCGGGCCCCGGGGCGTCCTGCTGCGGGGGTCTGCCGCTCAGCAGCCGGTCCAGCAGCCTGTCGGCCGCGGCCGCCGGCCACGCCTGGCAGAGCCCCTCGTGGGGGTCGCTGCGCCAGGGGTCACCCCGCGGCGCCTGGCCGCCTGGCCTGCTGTCCTGCTCCCTCCAGCTCTTCTGAGACGGTGGGCCGGCGTGCTGGGGGTCGGCGCCGGGGCCAGGGGCCCAGACCGGCGTGGGCGGGGGCCCTGGGGCAGGCCGTGGGGAAGCCGTTGCCCGGGGCGATGGGTGGGAGGCTCTGCGTTCTGATTGGTGGAAGCCCCTGACGGGCCAGGGGCCTCTTCTCGGGCCAGAGGTATTTCGAGTCCTCAGGGGTCCTCTTTTTGAAGCCGACCATGGGCCCCTGGCCCCCAGGCTGCTCCTGGCAGTTGGAGCCCAGGACGCCGTCAAAGGTGGCGATGATGTCATCGACTTCCGAGGGGGGCTCCCCCCGGTGGGCGTCCGGGCGGCTGTCCTCCGGGGGGGCCCTCTGCCCTTCTCTCCTGCCCTTGCCGAAGATCTGGTGCAGCACGCCGAGACGCCCCCCCTCCTTCTTCCGGGGCCTGCCAGGCTGCTCGGCGGGGCGCCGAGCCGGCTCTGCTCTGTGGAGTACGGGGACACAGGCGAGGTCGGCCAGCGCAGGGGACTCCCCGCCGCAGCCCCTCGGGCCAGGGGGGCACACCCGAGTGACCCACGAGCCCCTCCCGGACCAGCGGTCCCCAACCTGCGTGCCGCGAGTTCTAAAACACACGCTACCAGCTGTGTAGTCAGGGGCCCGGGCCTCTTTTCCCCGAGACTGTCAAATGAAACAAATGACCACAGCTGACAGGACAACAGCCATCCGGTGTGAATAAGTCAAGTCCAGACGGATTTTCTCGTCGGGTGGGCACAGGACATCACGTCCTCTTGGGTGGCCCTCGGGGTCTCGGTGGCCGGTTCACGTGTCGTGAGGCGGACGGAACAGGCCGGGACTCGCTGGCCTCCACAGGAGGGCTTCCTGGGCACAGCCCGTCCCTCCCGCTGAGAGTGGTCCCGGTCTGGTCCCCTCCCTGCTCAGCCCGGGAGGCTGCCCTCCCTGATGTGCCCCAGACGGGGTGTCTTTGCCGCTGGGAACCGCCGGCGCGCCCTGCTCTCTCTTCTCGAGGACGGGCAGGCGCGGGGGGAGGACCAGGTCTCGGCCGCAGAGGAGGCCGAGGGCGAGCCCGGCTGCTCACCAGAGTCAGGAGCCCCCAGGGGTCCGGAGGGGCGGCCCCGGGACCCCAGGAGACCCAGCCGCTCCCCCCTGGGAGCCCGCCCACCTCGGGCCGGCTGTGCCCTGTTTGAGCCCCGGCCCCTGCTTCCACGGAGTCCCCCGAAACACCTCGTGAACACGGAGCCCCAGGGGCCGGAGCAGAGAAGCTGCCTCGGGCACCAGCCGCAGAGGAGGAAACGCGAGGGCCGGAGGTGGTGGGGGGGGAGTGAGCGGCCGGACGGCAGGTGCATCCCCAGGGGAGAGGAGAGAGGTCGGCGCGGCAGCCACACACGCAGGGCTTCCCTGGGCCGCCGCCCCGAGTTCGCCCCTTGGAGACTCCGGTTCTCCTCCGAGGCCGCCGCCGCCCCTCCAGGGCTCGTGGCTGCGTGCAGACGGCGGCAAAGGCAGCCGTCAGGGACTCGCGGGGCCGGCCCTGATGGCGGCTGGCGAATGGGCCGGTGCCCTCCGATGGAGGGGACGAGGGAACGCGCACCCCGAGCCACACTCACCTGCTGTCCCCGGAGAGGAGCCGGACGCAGGCCAGGTGGCCGCCGCGCAGGGCGTAGGCCAGGGCCGCGCTGCCGTGCACGTCCCGCAGGCCGTCGTCCACGCCCAGGTCCAGCAGGGCCCGCACGCAGGCCGCCTGCCCGGCCGCCGCCGCCCAGTGCAGGGGTGTCCTGGGGGCCCGGGGGGGAGGGGACACCGGTGTGTGAGCACAGGCCGGGCTGGGGAGACACCGGTGTGTGAGCACAGGCAGGACGGGCCCCTGCTCCTTGCGGGAGGGGCGGGCGGCTGGTGAGTGTGGGGACCGCAGGGTGGGAGGGGCTGGGGGGACAGGGCGCGGGCCGGAGTCCAGTGCCCCCCAGCCTTCCGCCTCTGCTGGCCTTTCTGTGCGTCTCCTGGGAGAGGACGGTGGGGGTCAAAGGTGGGGGTCAAAGGTGGGACGCGTTTTAAGGCTCTTCATCCTTCATGCCGCTCTGCCTTCCAAGAAGACGGACCCGACTCGCCTTCTGCCCGACCCGGACCCCTCGGCCAGGCTGGCGGCCGGGGGACGCCTCCCTGGGGTCGTCTCTGGGGGCCCCTTGCTCAGCAGCGAGCCGACCTTCCCAAGCGTGCGCTCAGCCGCCACGTGAGCCCCCTCCCCGGGGTGACTGGCGCCCTTTGGGGCGGGAGAGCCGGTTCTCCCGCCGGTTGGTGAGGGCTCTGTGCACACTCCGTGCATCAGTCCGTCGTCAGACGACCTCACGCGAACAGTTTCTCCAGCCCGTTACCTGACTTTCAAGCTTTCAGTGACCTTCCACCAATTTAGAACAACGACCTCTTTGTTGTTGTCTCTTCCACAACTTTGTGCTTGGGAAGTCTTTCATCAGCCAGGAGGTAAACAAACACTCATCGGTATCGAAACCTTCGTTAAAATGCGAAACCAGCACTTTTTTAATGAAGCGAAAAGAAAAAGCCAGAGACGTGGAGCGAGCCCTTGCAGGCCACACCCCCAGTGAAGGGCTGGCGTCCAGAACGGACACAGGTCTCAGAGCTGGCGCGGAGGTGCAGGCGCCCGGAGCAGACACCCGTCAGAGAAGACGCGAGGGGGTGCTCGGCGCCGTCGGTCCCCGGGGAGACAGATGCAAATAAAACCGCAGGGAAACACACCACCACGTCACCGTGGAAACGGCTCCAAACGGAAACGCTCGCCGGCCCGGGGGACCCCGGCTGCTGGAGCGGGGCGTGGGGGGCCTGGTGTGCGGACACGGGACGGCGTGCTTGGGGGCGCTGCGAAACCAGCTGCTCTCGCACTGCTGACCGCCGGCTCGGCCGGGGCAGCCCAGGGGCGCAGGGGAAGCTCGCCCGGGTTTGCGGAGCGGCACGGGGGGCGTGGAGACTGCACCGCCCAGATGCGCACAGAGCCTGCGGGGCGGCCTGCCGTGTGTGCCCCCGGGCCAGCTCCGCTGCGGCTCCGCCCAGCCCCCTGGGCTTCGGGTCCCAGAGGCCCCGCAGCTCGGGCCGCCTGCTGCCCCGGGACCGGGACCGGTCCGGCCTCAGCTCCCACAGTGAGGGGTGGAGGGGAGGGCAGGGCCTGTGTTCCAGGAATCCAGGAGACCTGCACGCAGAGGCGCGGCGGGGACGGTCGGGGGTGTGGGCGCAGGGACGCGGGGGTCCGAAGCCAAGGACAGACTGACAGACAAGCCCACACTCCCCGGAGAGCCCCGGAGACGCCCAGGGACACACTCGATGGAAGGCCGTCCTTCCTGGGACACGTGAGCTGGGAGTCAGACGGCAGTGGGGCCCCCCCGGAGACGGGCCAAGTCTGGGGTGTTCGACTGTCTGAGCTCTTTCCGGGCCAGGCGCTGCGTGCCGTCCACCACAGGCCAGGACCCCCTTGTTTCAAACACCGCGGATCCGTGACGCGTTTTAACAACCAGGAGGACGCGTTCCCCCTCGTCCTTCTTCACCCTCTTTCGCTTCCTCAAGCCGGTGCTTCCTTTTCCTCCCTTTTCCCAGAGACTTCCTCTCCTCCTGGAAGTGGCGGCGACCGCACTTGCGCAAAGCACCGCAGCCTCACAACGCCCCGGGAAACCCCGTCCCCGCGAGCACCAGCTCCCCGGCTCCAGCGACCACGCGCGTCAGCCCGGCAGCCGGAGAATGAGGAACCAGAGAGGGCGGGGCGCGGGGCGCAGGTGGCCCGGGGCAGGAACCGGCTCCAGAGATTTCACTTCACCTTGAACTCTCGCGGCCCTGCCCTGCGCACCCCCGCCCGGTTTTACTTCCTCCCCGGGGGCCGGCCGGCGGGGAACTGCATTTTCTCTGCTCAGCGTGGGGCTGCGCGCGCACACACACACACACACACACACACACACGGTGGGAACTGGCCGGCGAGGAGCTGACTCCAGGAGGGTGTGTGTGGGAGCAGGCCGGCCGGCTGTCCCCCGGCCTTCCTGCCCTGCTCCAAGGTCACTCCCTCACCTTCGTCCCCTGGGCCTGAAGCCCTGGTGTGGGCTCACCTGCCCGGGGCCGACCCCCGCTCTGAGGGGCGCCCTGCTGCAGGGACGGGGGGACTCCCCCTCCGACCGAGGTCCGGGGCCCACCCCCTCCCGCCTCCGAGGCCCATGTGCAGCTCAGGCGCCCGCCCCGCGCTGCAGGGTGTCAGGTGCCGGGGGCGCCCTGCACCTCTGAAACCAGAACGGGCAGTAAGTGGCTAGTCCTGCAGGTCAGCCAAAGAGGGTGAGACCCCCCACGCAGTACAGAGCCTTCAACTTATCTTCCACGGTGCTGCCGCTGCTGTCATGTTTCTCTGCTTCCCCTGAGCGGACGGATGCCCGGCCTGGGCAGGTGAGGCCAGCACCGCCGCCGGGGGCGGGGGGGGGCGCTCTGGCGGGTGAGTGTGGGCGCAGGGCCCGCGGGGCGGACGCCTGTGCGTTTGGGAGACGGGGCACGAGGCTCACGCAGCTGCCCCTCGCCCGAGTGGCGTCTCTTCCCTTTCTGGGCCCCGCGTCCTTCTCCCTGCCAACGCCCCCCGCAGGACTCGACACGTAAAAACAACAACCCCCACGGGGCCCGGCCGCGTCCCGGACACAGAGCGCCTGCTGTGCTCCTGCCTGGAGACAAAACTGTTGACGTCGCGACGTGTTCGGGAACGAAGAAAACAGGACACGCGGTCGCGGACGCAAAGGTCACGGGCGGGAGCCAGGTCACGGGCCGGGGGCCGGGCTGCCGGGAGCCCGAGAACTCGGAGCACGTGCGGCGGGTCTCACAGCGCTGTGCTGTGCCGTGCCGGCGTCGCCCCTCACGGCAGCGGCTGCCCTGCCCCGCGGAAACGGGGCGGCCCATGTGGCCGTGAGCACACACGTGCCCACGTGCGAGCTGCCGGCACGGAGCTGTGGCCACACGGGGTGGCCCCTGGGCCCGCCCCCTTGCTGGAGGGGCGTCTGCAGTGGGCGAGCCCGGCCCCGCCCCCCCCGCCCCCCCGCGGTACCTGTCGTCCACGTCCCGGGCCTGCAGGTCGCACGCGGGGACCCCGGCCAGCTCGACCAGCACGTCGCTGAAGCCCGCGGCAGCCGCCGTGTGCACGCAGGTCTTGCCGCTCTCGTCGTCACAGTTGACCAGGGCAGGGCCCTGGCGGTGGCTCAGGATGAGGGCGCACAGCGTCCGGTTCCCGCTCTGCAAGACGGGGTTGGAGGGTGTGTGTCAGGAGCCGTGTGGCCGCCCCCCCAGCACTCTGCCCCCCCCGTCCCCTCCCCCGACCGCGCGTGTCCGGGCCGGCCCCGGTTCTTCCGGTGCGTGTCCCGACACACACACTCCCTTCTGAGACAGTGACCTGGGGGGTCACCAGCCACGGCGGCTGCGCACAGAACACTCTCAGCCCCCTGTGCCCCTCGGCTGCGGAGGGTTTGGGAGGAAGGAGGGGGTCACGGTCTAGACCCTTCGGAGGCCGGTCCTGGAGCCCAGCGTGCCCGTGAGGAGCACCGAGAGAGCAGGAGGGGTGTGTGTGTGAGTGTGTGCGTGCGTGACTGTGTGCTAGTGTGTCTGTATGTGTGAATGCGTGTGTTTATGTGACTATGTGTGTGTCTGTGAATGTGTGTGCCTGTGAGGGGGTGTGTGTGCGTGAGACTGTATGTGTGTGTGAGGTGAGTGTGAAAGAGTGTGTGAATGTGTGTGTGAGTGTGTCCATGTGTGAACGTGAGTGTGTCCGTGAGATGAGTGTGTGAGTGTAACAGCCAAGGCAGGTCCCACACCTGACGGCCCCCAACTCCCCCCCCCCCCATCGACAGGTTTCCTCCCAACCACCAAGGCCGCCCAGTCCTCCGCAGTGACAGGGGTGCTCGCTGCCCGGGTGTGAGCGGAGGGGACAGGGGCACCGGGAACCCCACCGTGTCACACAGAGAAGCCCCTCATGGGCACCACGGCCGCCCCGGGGACCGCCCCGGGCCCCCCGCCCCCGACCCAGGGCGCCGCCGACCGGCCCTACCTGGACGGCCCAGTGCAGGGCCGTCTTGAAGTCCTTGTCCGCCAGGGCCGGGTCGGCGCCCTTCCGCAGCAGCAGCTGGGCGTGCTGGGGCTGGTTGTGGAAGGCCGCCCAGTGGAGGGGCGCCATGCCCTGCGGGGCCAGAGCCAGAGTGGGCGGAGGTGAGGGCGGGCCGCCGGGGGGAACACGGGGGTCACACCCTCTCCCCGGCCCGGGGGCCTCACCGGACAGGCCGCTGCCACCCACTCACCCGCTCCCCCATCCCTCACACCGTCGCCCGGCCCAGACTCATCGCGCCTCTGCTCTGCGCCGGGACACGGGCCGCGGACACCACGGCGACACCACGGGGAGCAAGGTGGACGGGACCCTGGCCCCGCGGGGACTGCTCTGTGGGAGAGGGAGCCGGAGGGACGCACGCCGCGAGCCCTGGCAGGGTGATGCCGGGCAGGGACCGCTCCGCGGGCCTCTGGGGCCGAGAGGAGGAAGCTGCAGGCGGACGGATGGAGGGGGGACGAAGAGGGGGAGGGGGGCCGTGTGAGCGCAGCTGCAGAGGGAGGCCAGGCTGCCCCGGGCCGTGGGGCGGGGCCCCCACCCCGCGGAAGGCGCTGGGCGGTTGCTCTGAAGGCACCGGGAGGGCAGCACCGGGTGCCGAGCAGACGCCGGCTCCGCCTGGCACGCGCTGCCCTGCGGAGAGCTAGTCCCACCGTGGCCACGGGAGAACCGGCCCGGACACGGGTCAGTCGGGCCCCAGTTTCTTCTGAGGGCCGGAGGTCGCACACTCCCAGCACCGTTCCGTGGCCCAGTGGACTCCCTAGGGCCCCTTCGCCCTGCCCGCACCTCTCGATGGCACAGGGCAAAGCCGGGACGGCCGTAGGTGGTGGCGGTGGGACGCGGGGCAGAGTGTAAAGAGAGGGGTCCCGCCCCGGGCCCTTGCCCCACCCACGGGGGGGAGGGGAGAGAGGGGCCCCCGCCGGGGTCGGAGAGCAGGGCTGACAGTGTCCCCCCTTAGCCCTCCCTGACCCGGGGGCCTCCAACAGTTCCGGCGTGCCGGATCTCTCTGCACCCGCGGTAAGTGGGGTGGGAGGACTGTGCCTGCTCCCCAGCCTCCAGCTCCGCCTCCTCCGGGCACACAGACGCCGCCTACCCCTGGGCAGGCGTGGCATGACACTGAGACCTGACCGTACCATGTGGCCACTGTCACGGACCCTCTCGGGATGCCCACGTGGTCCTGCGCGCATCTGTCCTTCCTCCCCGACAACGGACTTGGGGGCGCACAGGCTCAAGAACAAGCCAGAACCATGGGACTGAAGAGCCTTCGGTCCTGACTGATCGGGTAGGACAGGGCCATCTGGTCAACCAGCTCTGCCTCTGACGCCGGCAGGACACAGGCAGACACCGTGTCGCGGCCCGGAGACTCGGGACCCGTTGGGGCAGCGGTGAGCCCACGCTGGCAGGTGCTGCTCTGGTTCTCGGCCCACGGAAGAGGAAGCTGGGCCCCGGAGAAGTCCCCGAGTCCGTGGGTGGGCAGGGAACTGAATCCAGGGTGTGGGGTCTGTGGGGCGCTGGGGTCAGGCTCGAAACCCCCTGGCCGGCTCCACGTTCTGCCTCGTTGGACTGTGGTTCGCTCTCAGGTGTCCAGTTCCAGCCACAGAACCCCGAGCCTCTGGAGACGTTCGGACGACATTTCAGGAAACTGGCTCCATGTGGGCAGGGGCGCTGGCCTTCGGGCGGAGGAGCTTCCTGTCCTGACAGTGGCCTGTTCACTCGACGGGACTCGGAACAGCCCGGTGCGCTTCATTCTTAGCTGGCCCCTGGAACCAGAAATCTGGTCTCCAGAGCAGCAGCCTCCCCTTGCCACTGGTGCGGGCTCTCCCCCCACCGGTGCCGGCCCCCCGCTCCGCGTCCCCAGGCCCAGGACGGAAGGCGCCGGGGGACAAGGCGGGCGCCGGGCTGTCTGCCCCCAAGGCTCCCTGGAGCGCCTGTTCAGAGGACAGACGACTTCTCCTCGCTGTTCCCGTGCGTGTTCCGCTTCTGTCCGACTTGGCTTCACTTTTTAAAACCGCGTGCACGGGACAGAAAGGCAGAGCAGGGCTCCTGCTCTGCGGAAAACGGGCTCGTCTGACGCGGTCCCAGCCCCCGAGTCACCCACGGAGCCCGTCGGCGTTTCCGGCGAGAGCTGCGAACGGGGCCGCGGCCGCTGCGCGGGTGCAGGGACCCTGCGACGTGAGACCCCACCACAGGGCGCAGTGCGGTTGTGAGCCAGCCCGCGGCTCCGAGCGGGCGGTGCCTGGCCGTCTGGGGGCCCTCGTCCCCTGCGCACCCGCCGCTGGGCGGCCGGAGCTGCTGTCTCCAAACAACGCCCTCCCCTCCACACAGATTACAGACAGACAGACAGACACGCAGCCCAGCTCCACCCCCGCTTCAGCCACGGAGCGGGGTGGGGTGGGCATGGCCGATGTCGGTGGCCCCCTGCCTGGGGCCCAGGACTCTCTGTGTCCCCCCACTAGTCCCCAGGACGGCCCCGGCAGCGCCCAGGTATTCCCCCCTGAGCCACCGGTGGTGTCAGGTGGGGCGCCGAGACGCAGGCGGTGGGGGGGGGCTGTTGACCGAGGCCGCCGACCAGCTCCGTGGCGGGGCCGGGTTCGAGTCCCGGGTCTCTCCGACGCAGACCCCGCCCCCGGCTGGCTGGCTGTCACTTGGGAAATGAGCTCAGACGCTGGGAGAGGCAGGCGGGTCTCCGTGGCCGGCCTGCGCACCCCCCGTCTCCGGCTCTGGCGTCTAAAGCAGAAGCCGCGCACGGTGCCCCCCCCCCCCCCCCGGCGTCGGCCTCAAACCGCTGAGGACGCGGGCGTGGACGCAGAGTGTGGCCGCCCAGTCGGGAGGGCCCCCCTCGCCCCCGACCCAGGCTCCGTGCGTGCGACACAGGGACTTCCTGCCGTGGCGGCCGGCCCAGGCCGGCGGGGAGGAGGCCGGCCACAGAGGGCGGGAGGGAGGTGAGGCCCAGCCCGGTGGGGGCCGCGCCCCGGCCCTGCCCGCTGTGCACAGCCAGCCGGCCAGCCGGCTCCCGCGGCCACGGTGCCCCTTGGCATTAGGGGCCGACGCACTTTCCTTGCTGTCAGACTTGCTTCACGTCATATTGCGTGTTCGTAGCACAGGGCGGCCACACCGAGCACATGCTTATAACACGCTTCACTAAAAACCAGGCGTTTGTGCTGGGTTTCTGGGGCCCGTTAAAGGGATCCGGCTGGCCCTGGCCGGTCAGTCCCGCTTCTGGAACGAGCTAAGCAGCCCCCCGGCCCCCGGCGTCGGGCCTGCACCTGCCCAGGACGGGGCTTCTCGGAGGCCGGCACCGGCTGTCTCTGCAGCAGGAATGCAGCAGCCGCGGCGGCTGCTGGCGCTCGGAAGGAGGGCTCTGGCCCAGGAGGCCCCGGGGTCGCTGTCTCTCCGACACCTCTGACACCGGTCCCTCCGTGTCAGCAGGCCGCCCGTGCCCTGGGGACTCAAGAGGACGGGACGGGGCCCGTGCGGGTCTCTCGGTGCCCGGGGACAGTCACGGCACCTCAAGGGGGTGCTGAAATACCTAATGCCACAGCCCCTCTGGGAGAAGCTGCCCATAGCGGCCCCCGTGGGCGGACAGTTCTGCCCGAAGGTCCTGGCAGCCGGGTGAGTGGTTCCGGAAGGCCTTCCTCTCCACCCCCCCCGACCCCCTGCCCCCGTGCGCAGTGGCCGCCGTCCCCCCCGCGGGCAGGCTCACCTCGTTGTCCTGGTGATTGACCTCGCTGAGGCTGGACTGCTGCACCAGGACTGCCAGGAGCCTGGAGGGAGAACCAGAGGGGGCTCCAGGGGGCGGCCCGTGCGGTCAGCGGGGGCCGGGAGAGGAGGGGGTGGAGGGACCTCCACGTGAAGACGCCCCTCCCCCACCCTCTGTCCGATCGCTCGGCGGCCGGGGAGCCGGGCAGCCGGGCGGCGGGCACTGAGCAGCTGGCAGGACGTGGTGGTGCCGCCGCCGGTGAGCCCGGCTGCTCGGGTTCCTGGGTTCCGGGAGGAGGAGGCCGTGAACGTGACTGCGTTCTGGGTGGTGCCGTTCCGCACTTGCCATCACACTCCGCTGCCGGGCGTGTTTCCCTCAAAGCTGCTTTGGGGGGTGGGGGCTGCTGGCTGCCCTTCTCTTCTCTCTCCCTCCCCCTCTTCTCCTTTCTGGCCTCACCCCCCCATCTCTCTCTCGTCTTGTACGCGCACACCCCACCCCCGGCGCTGCCCTGCTCGCCGGCCGGCCCTCGCTGCCCCACCACGCGTCGCCTGGACGGGCCCCCGGGGGTCCCGCTCCCAGCCGCTGCTCCCAGGCTGTCCGCAGCCCCGAGGACGCCTGAGGACACTGGGCCCGCCTCTGTCCTGGCCGCCACACCACCGGCCCTCCCCTCGGTGTTGTCCCCTCAGGCTCTGCCTTCGAGGCCGCCCCGTGGATCTGGGTGCATCTGCTCCCACCCACCCACCGGCGTCCCGCCCAGGCTCCCTGCGGGCGCGTCCTCCTCCTCCCCACCCAGACACCCCGGCCTGCCTCCGAGCCCCGGCCGGCCCCCTCCTTCCTGCCCGCCCTCTCCCTTGCTGGGCTCTCCCCGGCCCTCGTCACTGCCCTCGGTGGGCCCACGGACTGCCTAGTGAGCGGCCACTCACCTCCGCCCCTGGGGCACACGCCCCCGCAAGGTCAGGGCCCCCGCTGTGCTTCCCGCGGAGCTCGCGGGGGCCCGGGGGGGGCGTGGCCCGGGGCAAGCCCTCAACAGTAGCTACGGAAGGAGCAGGTGAGTGGTTCGGGGGGTGAGTGTGTGAATTCGGATGGGGCAGTCTGCACCGCGTCTCAGATCTGACTGGGAGAGAGGGTTTGCTGGGTTCGCGTTGAGGATCCTTCCGGGGTCTTCTGCTCTACTGAGACGCGGTCCTGTCTGTGCCAGCTTCACACAGAGGGGTGGGTCCCTTTTAGCTGGCCGCAGGGTTGGAGCGGACCACCTCCTGACCCCATGGGGCCCCCCTCCCGCACGCCCCGGAACCCGCCGCTCACCTGGCGTCGGGCTCCGCCGTGGCCGCGTGCAGCGGCAGGCGGCCGCTCTTGTCCGGGATGCTGTGCTTGGCCCCGTTCCTGAGCAGGCTCACGCAGCCGTCCAGCCACCCCTGGGGGCGAGAGCGGCAGCCCCGTCACCCCGCAGCCCCGCGCCGCGCGGCCCGGACCCTCCCCGTCTCCTCCCTCCGGCCCTGCGTGGCTGAGCCCAGCACGTCCCACACGACTCGGGCGGTCCCACACGCGCCCAGCCCAGCGCAGCCACCCTGGCGGGGCCCCGGGTCTCGGGGTGGCTCCCCGGGAGGCTGACTCCTAGACCTGCCCTCCGGCCCTTCCTCCTGACCCCGAGGACGACACCCTGCTCGCTCCAGGCAGCCCCCTGCCAACACCCAGACCCCGCCTGAGCCCTGCTCCAGTGGCAGGGACCCTGCCGCCCCCCAGCACCCTCCAAGGGCGCCCCATGGCGACGTTTCACCCACCTACCAATCCCCAGGAGACTGCACCAGCCCGGGCTGTCCCCACGGCTCACGCTCCTCCCTCCTCGGCCGGCACCTACGGTGGCCTTCCCACACGCCCCTCTCGCCCCCGAGCAGACGGAGCTCCTGGCTGGACCCCTTTCTGGTCTGCAGACCTGACGCGGCTGACCCAGCCCGGCTGACGGCCTCGGCCGCCCAGGGGCACGGCTCCCCCCTCACCCACAACCACTGGGTGCTCGCAGATGAAACTATCATTGTGAAGAATAATTGATACTTTTCTTCCCAGCCTTCCTCCTTTCTCGCGTAATTAAGGCTCAAGATTCCCGAGGGAGATGCCTGGAGATTTCTTCCCCTCACACGGTTGCAAATAGTAAAACCCAAAACGTTGTACATGCTCAGAGGAGAAGGGAGATAATGATAAGCAAAGAATCTTTTGGTTCTGGAAGGTCTGGAAAAAAGTCTTTCAATAAAAGCACGGAAAAACTCCTGGGGTAAGACACGGAGCGTGATTTTGTGGAGCTGACCGATGGCACCCGAGTCTGGGCAGCTGTCTTCGTGCAGCAGCGTTCACTGAGGCGTCCGCTCGGGTTGAGCGCTAACACCCCAGTGGCCGAGCCCCTCGCTGAGGGGACGAGTGGGACCCGGAGACCCCGAGATGGGCGTGTCGGACGGGTTTCAGAGCCGCCAAAATTTGAAAAACAAATCGGACGGGGGAAGGCATGGAACACTTTTACCATTTTGCAGCGTTTCCCGGCACTCTGCGTGTGCGGGTTTCCTTCTTTCTTCGCAGAAGAGCTGGGGCAGCTCCCGAATAATTCTGAAGCCCGCGGTCGGTGGCAGCTCAGAACCCACAGCCCGCCCTGCACCGACCGACCCGGGGCCGGGACAGCCCGCGTGCCTCTGCTCCGAGGGCGCTGCCCCCGCCCCCCCCCGGCTGCCTGCTCTGCCCCGAGTCACCAACGAGCAAAGGGGCACAAGGAAGGGCAGAGGGTCGCCTGCGGTCGCACGTCTGCGGCAAGCCTGCCTGTGCCCTGAGTGGGCAGCCGGGACGGAGACGTGACTCCTGAGGCCCCGTGCCAGTGTCTCTTTAACTCTTGAGCTCACGCTCTGCCAGGGGGCGTGGGGGGCTTCACAGGGCACCCCCGGGCCGGGGGCCCCACGGCGAGTGGGGGAGGGGCCCGCCTCGGCGGCCAGGCAGCGGCAGGGGCACCACTCAGTGGGTGGGCAGCGCCACGCCGCGGCCGGCGGACGCGCTCCCCTCAGGCGTCTCTGCAGAACGCGTCCCGGAAGAGCTGACCGCCCGGGGGGCCGGCCCCCAGGCTCAGGGCCCCTGGGACATGGGGGGGACCTCCTCCGGTCCCGGAGGTGCGCTCGTCGGGCCCAGGGAGTCCGGACTGTAGAGATGGGAAGGGGGTGCAGCTCGGTTCCCCTCCGCCCCAGGTGCCGGCAGCAGCCGCCTGCAGAGCCTTCTCCACGGCCTTCCCCGTCCCGGACCCAGATGCCCCCTTGCCTCAGCTCAGCGACGCCAGCAACCCCCGTGGCAAGGGCAGCTACCCAGGCAGCTGCTCGGAGGGAGGGCCCGGGCGTGGTCCGGCGTCCGTCTGAGACGGGAACGTCACCCTGGGCCTGGGGCCAGGGGCTCCCAACGTGAGCGGGCACACTGCCAGGAAGGGCTGTCTGGCACGCCGTCCCTGGGGGCCCGCTGTCCCCGGGGCCGGCCCAGGAGGCCAAGGGCGCCCTCCCAGAAACTGCGACACCGGGAAGCTCTCCCCAGGCCCCCGTGGGGGGGGGGGGGCTGCGAACAGGCGGCGGGAACGTGGTTTGTGCGGAGACTCTGAGCCCAGGGCCGGGTCAGGGCGCCCACACAGAGCGCAGCCAAGCGTCTCTCCCCTCCCACCCCGGCTCTCCCTCCCCAGGCCTCCCTGTGCCCCATGGAGCTCACCCTCCGCCTCCCACTCCGCTCACCCGACCCGCAGGCCCCACGGCAGCCACGAGGGTGCCGCCCCCTCGGGACATCCTGGGGGCCCTCCCAGAAGGGGCCCCAGGGAGCCCAGAGACAGACGCCCACAGGGAGCTCCGGTGAGAAGGGCTGTGCCTCTCAGGGCGCGGTCGCCTCCTTCTCAGCTCCAGAGGGCTGTCGGGAAGGGCCCCGGGGACTGGGGTCCGGGCCACCAGCTCTGAGAGGTGACGCCGCAGCCCTCGGAGAAGACCGACGCAGAGCTTCAAGCTCCGATTCCCCGGGTCCCCGGCCCCCAGCGGACACGGGCCCTACCAGGTAGGCGGCCAGGCACAGGCTGGTGCGGCCACGGGCGTCCTGGGCGTTGACGTTGGCGCCCATCTTCAGCAGCAGCCGCACGGTGTCCGCCTGGCGCCCGGACACGGCGTGCATCAGCGGGGTGCACCCTGGAACGAGAGAGAGAGAGAGACGTCCGTCCGAGACCCGCGCTCAGACCCGCGGCCTGGCCCCGCGGAGCGGGCGGCGCGCTCTGCGGACGGACAGAGGCCCACCCCGCGCCCAAACCCGGCCGCGAGCGGCCCCTCCTCCGGCCGTCCGGCGTCGGGGGCTTCGCGGCGACAGGTTGGACGACACACTCACTGCGAGGTCCCCGAGGTCGCCGCGGCCTCCCTCTGCAGCGCCATTGGTGCGTGCGGCCACGTGACGCCTCGGACCCGCGGGGACCGGCTCCGCCCACTTCGCTCTTCTGGCTCGGAGCTGTTCTCACCTAGTCCGCCCCTCCGCCGCCTTTCCGTGTGGTTTTCGGACACGCTCGTCTAGATGCCCCGCGGAGATACGGCCGGGCTGGGTGGAAGTTGCCTCACGCCTGCGTCCGGCCCTGCGCAGCGTTTCGCGCGTGCTGGGCTGAGTCTTCGGCCCGGGCGCCGGGTCTGCGCCCCCACCCGGTGTCCTTAGCCCGCCTCCGGCCCCTCCACCGGCGGGTCACAGCTCCCAGGGCGCCGGGCCCACACGCAGCCTGTGCGTGGCAGTGGCACCCGCGTGTTTGCACCGCGTGGCCCGTTGAGCGGTGCTGGGGTTCTGGCTGCGGTGCCCGGGCGTGCATTTCTGGCACGTGCCCGTGCAGGTGTGTGTGTGTGTGTGTGTGTGTGTGTGTTCGTCTTACATCCGTGGCTGCAGCCCCCGCTCAGCTGAAGGGGGTTTGGTGGGTTCTCTGTGTCGACAGTCCAGCCACGCAAAAAGGAACATTTACTTCATCCTTCTAGGGAAAAATCCGCATAGGCCTCTAAAGTGTTTCCCGCCTTTCCGCGCTGGCCAGCACCTCGCTCCCCGTGAGTGGGCGGGGACGCCGCCGCTTTGTTCCCGACTGAGGAGCAAAGCGCTTCGGCCGCACCGTGAAGTGTCGGCTCCGGGTTTCAGCAGACAGTGAACTGAGGGCGCTCCCCCTCTGTCATTTCTCTGAGAGTTTCTAATGAATGTGTGTAAGTTTTCTCATGTGCCTTTTCTGCATTCACTGATGTGGCCATGTGATCTTTTTTAAGCTGGTTAACAGGATGCATCGCATTGATTTTTCAAATGTCGAGCAAGACAGATCCCCAGGACAAACCCCACTTGGTCATGGTGTATAATTCTTTATTTGTATGTTTTACCAAATCCCATTTGCGAACATTTTGCCAGGGATATCTGTATGTTTAGGAGGAGTATTGGGCTGTAGGTTTATTTTTTATATCATCTTTGTCTGGCGTCATAAGCATAACTGAGAAAAGTTTCCCTCTCTTATCTTTTCTGCAAGAAATGATATAGAATTGATATTATTATCTAAGAGTTTGTGGAAGTATTTAGTGAAGCCATTTAGGCCTAAAGATTTCTTTGTCTAAGAATTGTAATATTAGGAATTTGATTTCCTTAACAGCCATAGGTCTATTCAACTCACCTATTTCCCGTTGAATTGTGGTGGTGAACCTTCTCCCCAGATTAACCCATTTCATCTAAAGAGCAACGCTTCCGTGTGCAGAGCTGTTGGTGGCATTTCTGTTGTGCTCTCCAGGCGTCTCCGTGTCCCGGAGGCGCCCCGAGGCGACCCCTTCGGTCTCACTTCTGAGAGCGGAGATCTGTGTCTTCTTCCACCTTCCTTTTGTCGGCGCTATTGCTAGAAGTCCATCAGTTTATTGGTCTTCTCAAAGATCGGTTCCTCGTTGAATTGATTTTTCTCTTGCTATTCTGTTTTCAAGTTCCTTGGTTCCCAGTCTTTATTATTTCTTTCCTTTGGTTTGCTCTGGGACTGTTTGGGTCAAGAACTGAGACTGCTAACTGATACTTTCCCTCTCTTCTAAGGGCAGTGCTACAAATTTCCCTCTCAGCATCGCTTTAGCTGTCTCCCACCAGTTCTGATGCATTGTATCCCCTTTCCTGTTCACAGCCAGCCAGCGCAAGTCAGGCCTGAGCTCACGCAGTCTGGCTCTTGCACTTACCACACTAGGGGCGTTTAACCTCTGACTCTCCTCGTTTCCACTGCCAGCGCCATGGCAGGTGCACCAGTAAGTCTGCTTTGAACACAGACAAACGAATCAACAAACACCCTCAGGGACACATGAGGCAGCGACACTCTACGCTACAAAACTCTCTGCTGTCACGGTAAGGGGTCCAGACCTCCTCCAGGAAGGCCAGCTGGTCAGAAATGGTTAAGGCCTCCGCAGAAGGCTGGGAGGGGACACTGGTGACAGTGGTGTCTGTTTCAGCCCCAGAGGACCCCGAGGCTCTGTTCTTTCTTTCCCTTTTGAAACGTTCTGTGAGCCGTCAGCTCGGCCCGCTTCTGCTGAGGAGTTTTATGCTGGGGTTACTGTGTTGTTGAGTTCCCAAACTCCCACCTGGTGTCCCTGTGTCTGTGGGTCTTTGCCGAGACTTTCCAGCTTTGCGCTTGTTTCGAGCGTGTTTGTAACCGAAGCATTTTTTTCGTGGCTACTGGGCGAGCCGTCTGTCAGATGACCCCAGCAGCTGCCGTCTCGGCGGACCGACACCCGTCGGCTGTCCCCCTTTGCATCCAGTCCCAGGTCTCCCTGGGCGCGACTCGTGATTCCTACTGCAACTCGGACGTCTGAGGTCCGTGTCCCGAGTCGCTCTGTCTCACGTTCGCCCTCCATCTTCTTTGGCTTCCGCTGACACCACTCCCAAGGAGAAGGGGGGGAGCCCCCTCATTACTGCCCGGAGGGATGGGGGGTCCAGGTCCCCCCTTAGCCATCTGGGGGGGAAGACGCTTCGTGAACGCAGGCTGACGGTGCAAGTCCCCCTCCTCAGGACCCCTCCTCTGGCCCCGGGACCACAGGTGGGCAGGGGAGGGGACCCGGTTCCCACCCGGTGGAGGTGGAGCGGGTGGGCAGGGCCGTAGGGTGTGTGTGTGTGGTGTTTGGCTGGCAGGGGGTCACCATTGTCTGAGACTTCCCGTCTCGCCAGGCGGCTCCTTTCTGGTTCTCCGGCTGCGGGGAGCAGGCTCCCATCGGGGTGCTGGTCTGCGCCTGTGGCTTCCCCGGGCTCCGGCTAAGTCTGGGTCATCAGATCAGGGGCCACACCCCAGAAACCCGCCACCAGGTCTCCCCTCGACGCCGGGGCCCCAGCCGGGCTGTCACTTCCTCTGCGCCCTGCGGAGGGCCCCTGTGCTCACTGTGCGTGGCGTCAGGGACCTGGAGCCGCGTTCGGCCCGGGGGGCAGAGACAAAAGCCCCCCGACTCCATCCCCCCGGGGGCCGACCCCCTGCTGTCTGCCGGGAGCCGGGACGCTGCCCACGTCCGTCACGGCACAAGTGCCCCTCCTGCCCGCCCCTCGCCTCCACCCACCACTTTCCACGTTGGGACGGAGAGGTTGGAGGCAAGGTCAAACCAACGGGCTTCGCTCGCTGCAAGAGGAGACACAGCGGAATCTGCCCCTCTGTGCCCGAGACCCTCGGGTTTAAGGAGACGCCGGGGCCCCCCGCCGCTCGCCGGGCCGGCTGTCCGCTGGGGGGGGGGGGGGAGGCCGGGCGCAGGCTCACCTTCTCCGTCACAGCCCTCGAGGACGGACGGGTCCTCCCGGATGGCGGCCGTCAGGGCCCCGACGTCGCCGCTCGCTGCCGCCTGGTAGACCAGGGTCAGGTCGACCTCCTCCAGCGACTCGCCTGCAGGACTCAGACAGAGATGCCCTCAGTGAGTGCGCGGGGGGGGTCCCCGAGAGGACGGCGCCCGCAGGTCCAGCCAGCACTGCTGGTGCTCGGAGTGGACTCCTCCGGGCGGGCGGGCAGAGGGCAGAGGGCCGGGCCAGCCGCCCCCTGGCACCCACTGCCCTTCCCGAGAGAGGTGGGCCGGGGCGGCCGCAGGCAGTGTCACCAGGACCCTGGGCACCGGCTGTGCCCCGAGACCTCACCCTCCCCTCTGGGCATCGGGCTACACGAAATCCGAGGCCACCGTCGTCCGGGCCTCCCCTTTCTGCTTCTGTCGGACACTTGCCCCTCTCCCTTCCAGTGACGCCGTGTGTCCACCTGTGGAAGTGGCCTCTTCTCTGTCCTCCCGTGGGCTCCCGGCCCTGGCCCTGGCCCACTCTGCACCCGAGGGCCCGGCCTCCGGACAGTTCCCTGGCCCCCGCCCGCGCCCCCACCCCCTGGGCTGGGAGACGCCCACACAGGAGCCGGCGGGCAGAAGGGAGAGCTGGGCCCTCCCTGAGCACAGGCCCCCCACCCCGGGGGCTCCCCCTGCCCAGGGCCGCGCCCTGGCCCCCTCTGGGACCAGCCTTGCTCTCGGCCCTGTCCTGCCCCGTCTCTGCACGTCCGTCGCCCCCTCGCCACGGCCCCTCCCCAGGAGGCAGGAGCCAGCCGGGGCGTCAGCACAGGCACAGGCGCCTCCAGAAGGAACAGAGCCGCGTGCAAGGCTCTGACTTGGGCGGCCACTGGCAGGGCACCTCCGTGCACACTGGGACCCGTGGTGATGGCGGGACTGCGGGTCCAGCGCACCCGGGGCCACGCCGGGGGGGCCTGGGGGCCGGTCCCACTCGCAGGGACCCCACGGCGTGACGCTGCGCCGAACCCCCCCGCGCTCACCCAGCTTCTCCCACGCACAGCCGTCGTGGCGGGGAGTACGTGGAGAAAACCCGTCAGGCTGAGTTTCGCTCCCAGTGTGGACCTCGTGCCAGAGAAACCTCACCGCCCGACCGGCCCCGCGCTTGCTGGCAGGGGTCCTGACCCCTGGGCGTGGCTCCTCTTGTCCCAGTGTTCCCGGGGCGCCAGTGACAGTTTTCGGGCAGCTGACCCGTTCTGTCCCGGGAGGGGCGAGGGAGCTGGACACTGAAGGCGACCGCGGGGGCCAGCAAACTGCCCTGTACGGCGCAGGGCCGCTCCTGACGTCTGCAGGACGTCCTCACGCTCTCCACGCGCCCCACGGGGAGCCCGCAGTGTGACGGTCGGCCAGGCCGGCTGCCTTCTCTGCAGGGAAGGAAGGACGGCGTCCGGGCGCCGCGCCGCGGGGGAAGGGGCGGACAGAGCCCACGGGTCCGCGTGGGGCCGAGCCCTCGACGTTGGACGGGCTCTGGAAACCCGTGTCCTTCTGACTCCGACCTTTAACCTATCCCGGCTGGTTTCAAAAAACAGACGGGTGCGTCTTTTGAGTTTCCATTCATGTTGACCTCAGACCGGAAGGGCCGGTGTCCCCTCCCCCGCTGTCACGGTTGAGAACCTGGACGGCTCCCGCGCTGCGTCCCCAGGGGCCCTGCCCGGGGAGCCCGGACCCTCTCTGACCACGGGGCCCGCTTTGTGGAAATGACCCAGAGGGCAGCAAGGCGTTTGTTGTGCTTGCGCAGTGACCGTCTGCAGGAGGGCAGGCCACGATAGGGTGGGCGGCTCTGGCCGTTTCGAGAGGCCAGACCAGGGTGGCCTGGGGGACCCTCGGGTGGCGGAGCCCGCCCTGGAGCCCCCCGTGAAGCCCAGCTCCACTTGGGGCGACCGCAGACGAGTCTGCAGACCCCTCTCCGGGCGCTCCCCGGGGGCGGTTTATGACCGCAGGGAACTGCAGTGGGGTCCCTCACCCGGGTACCCGCTCCTTCTCAGGGGAGCGGAACTGCCCGCGCACAGTGGGTGGCGTCTCCGTCCCGGTCAGGGGCGCGCCCTCCTGGGAAGACGGGCGCTGCGTGTGGCTGGGCTGCCCCAGGGGTCTCACGCAGGACGGGGACCAGTCGCTCGGTAACCAGTTCCCCGGGTGCTGCCCGGCCCAGGGCCCCGTGCCCTCAGCAGCCTTCTCCGGGCTGGGGGGCGGGGGGACGCTGGAGAAGTCGCACTGGGGGGCTGCCTGGAACGACCGGTCCGTAAAGTGCCGAGGCCTCCGGCCCGTCTCAGGGAGGTGCCAGCCCTTCCCTGCGCCCGGCTGGCTCCCCGTGACGACAGTGCCACCCGCTGGTGACTGTCTCTGTCTGTGGCCTTGGCCAGGACCCTGGGCCAGGAGGGGCCAGGTCCGCTGGTGGAACAATGAGAAGCCACGCGGGGCCAGGCTGGAGGGCACCGGCACGGGTGGCCGGCACAGGCGGCGCCCCGGACTGCCCCCACGCAAAGCCGAGGACGCCAAGGTCGAACTAACTCTTCTCCCTTTTCACGGACTGCCATTTCCCTGCGGCCTGTTTGCGGGGTCGGGGCTCCCGGAACCGTCCCCCAGAGAAAGGCCAGCCTTCTGCCACGCAGAGCAGGTGAACTGAGGAGGGAGGTGGGGAGGGGTCTGCCTGCAGCAGCTTCGCCGGGGGACCCACGCCCTGGCTTTGCAGGTCTCCCTCCGGCTCCCAGCACATCGGTCCCCACGACCGTCACCCCTGGGTGACCCAGTGGTTGGGGGCCAGTGGCCCCTCCTCTCCCTCTTCCTTCACCTCCACTCCGAAGGCGGCTGCCGGGGCACAGCCCAGACCCCGGGCCTGGGAGAGGGCGGCTGCCCCTGAGCCGAGCCCCTGGAGCAGAGAGCATCTGGGAGGCCGGCCCCCCCCCCCCCACCGGGGCGGCCCGCCCGGGCTAGAGCAAATGTACCCGCCCAGGCCTCTCTCTGCCCTCGTGTGTCCCGGGGCCCGCGGAGGGGCGGCGGTGGGCTGACAGACCCCGGAAGTGGAGCTCGGGGGTGGAGGGGACTGTGAGCAGGTCTCGGGGGTCACCGCCAGAGCTCATTTTTAAACCGCCGTTTGCAGCTTTGCCCTGGACCCCGGGGGCCCCTGGGGAAGCGGCGACAACTCAGAGGAGCCAGAAACCGAACGCACCCCCGAGGCTGAGCTGAGGGTCAGCCGGGGTCACAGCAACAGCTCAGCGCAGGGCCGCCGGCACGGGGCGGGTCCCGGTAGCACTTGCGGCCTGACCTCAGCTCCCCGCCCCGCGGCAGTGGGTGGGTGGGTGGGGGGCGCGCATGTGGGTCTGCGCGGGCCTGAGCGGCGGGGACCCACTGGGCCGGGGACCGAGGCGCAGAGCCCCCTGCCCGGCAGAGGCACGCACTGTGCAGGCCGCAGGTGTGTTTGCGTCGCCGGAGCATTTTGAAGCAGGTGGCGTGCACTTTACGACGAGGGGAACACACGGTATTTCCAAAGCCCGGTGCGAGCCGGTCCGTACAGAACAGTCCAGCACCCTCACCCCGAACTGCCGGCCGGGGAGCGGGCGCCCCCGCGTGGTGCCCTGGCGGCAGCGCGGCCGGCGCGAAAGGGGCGGATCCCCAGAAACGCCGCGTCACGGGAGGGGGCGGGGCTGCGGAAAGGTCGCAGGTCGCCGGAGACGCTGGCCCGCAGCCCACCAGCGCTGACACTCGGAGTGTCCCCCCCCACCCCCCGTGTGGCCTCAGCCCTAGGACCCGTGTTTGGCCGAACTGCAGAGTGTCAACACCCAGGGCTCCCTGGTCTGGTCTCCGTTTGGGTCAAGCACCCTCCGCGAAGCCCGTGCTTTCCCGTGAACGAATCCGCCGTGACGACGCCCGCGGAGATGGAGGTTTTCCGGTGCGGAGCGAGGGCGAGAGCGAATGAGAGCGAATGGGAGCGAGGGAGCCGGGGGGGGGCGGGGGGGGAGAGAGGGCGAGAGAGACTGAGAGCGAGCAGTGCATGCGGTACAGCGCAGTGCGGTACCGAGTCCCAGACGGGACCCCGCACTGGGCGGCGGGCGGCGGAGGGGGGGGCGGGGCGGACCCGGGAGGTGAAAGTGTGCACGTGTGCACACGCCCGCAGGCGCACACTCGCAGGCGCACCCGCCCGCGGGCGCACACTCATGGGCGCACACTCACGGGCACACACGCCCGCAGGCGCACACTCGCAGGCGCACACACACAGGCGCACACTCACAGGGGCACACACGCCCGCAGGCACACACTCGCAGGCGCACACTCGCAGGCGCACACTCAGGCGCACACACTCACAGGCGCACACACAGGTGCACACTCACAGGCGCACACTCACAGGTGCACACACTCACAGGCGCACACTCATGGGTGCACACGCCCCCAGGCGCACACTCACGGGCGCACACTCATGGGTGCACACGCCCCCAGGCGCACACTCACGGGCACACACACTCACAGGCGCACACTCATGGGTGCACACGCCCCCAGGCGCACACTCATGGGTGCACACTCACAGGCGCACACTCACGGGCGCACACGCCCGCGGGCGCACCCACAGAGACGCAGACCCGGAGAAAGAGCTGCCTGCGGAGCGGCCGGGGCCAGCGCCGGGCAGATCCGGGTGAAAGGCGCGCGGCCGTTCTCTGCACGGTTCCCGCGACACGCAGGTCTGAGCCGGTTTTCAAACAGCAAGTTCGAGAATGAGAACGCTGTGACGTGTTACGTGTGCGTACTTTAAAGCTCCGAGGACACATTGAGCAATGGGACCAGTTCCCTCGCAGGCCGGAACGGCCTTCCCCCGCCCCTCCCCCGACAGACCCGGTAAAACGTCGTCAGATCGGGCCCGTCCAGGGGAAGCGCCGGCTTCCACTTTCACAGAGAGAAGCCAACCCGAGGACCCTGATAATCACACAAACCTATTCACGAGTTTGAGGTTAATCTCAGGACAAAGCCACAGTGACCTCAAGAGCGAAACCAGAAAATCTGAGATACGAGTGAGCTCTCCATACGCGTGAGCTCTGGAGAGAGCAAACGCTGTGTCCGACGACCCACAGGCCTGCGGACCCCGAGCCGGCCAGACGCGTGACCCCTGCTCGGACGGGGTCTTCCCGCCGGAGTGTCCAGCTCACGCCCACCTTCTACACAGCCCTGGACCCCAGAGCACCGACACCCTCACCTTGTCCCACAGTCTGCTTCATCGCTGCTTAGCAATAAAAAAACAGCTACAAATTTAGCAGCGTTTCCTTAAAAAAAAAAAAAAAGATTTATTTATTTATTTTTAGAGAGGGAAGGGAGGGAGAAAGAGAGAGAGAGAGAGAAACGTCAATGTGCGGTTGCTGGGGGTCATGGCCTGCAACCCAGGCATGTGCCCTGACTGGGAATCGAACCTGCGATGCTTTGGTTCGCAGCCCGCGCTCAATCCACTGAGCTACGCCGGCCAGGGCAGCAGCGTTTCTTTACATCTTTGTGTCCCAGCGGTTGCACCGAAGCAAACCCCACGGGTGTCAGTGATCTGATACAGCTGCTCAGCAGCTGCTGCAGTGCCGCGGTGGCCGTGCCCAGAGAGGGCAGCGAGAGCTCAGTGTGGCCACCCAGTGCGGCGTCCCCAACCCCCGGGCGCTGGACCGGGACGGGCCACGTGGCAGGAGGAGAGCTGAGGGCCAGTGAGCAGGGCTCTGCTGGCAGAACGGCCTGCGCTCCGCGGCCTCCTGTCTCATTCCCGCCCCCGCCCCCCCCTCCCCCTCGCCCACCGGTCTGGGGGAAAACTGCCTTCTACAGACCGGTGCCCGGTGCCAGAAAGGCTGGGGACCGCTGACCTAGCGGGCTCTGGGACGAGGGGCGGAGCTGAGTGGGCCTGGCTGTGCGGTCGGACACACGTCAGGGTCCACTCTGGAGGCCGGTGAGGGGTCATCCCTCTTGGGGCGCAGCTGCAGGACAGAGCCCCCCTCCCTGGACAGCTGGCTGAGGCTGCGGATGGCTAACTGTGTGGGCGTCCCTCCAGCCAGGCTCACAATGGGGGAATGGGGGGGTGGACAGGGTGGTCACGGCCTTCCAGCCAGGGCGCTCCGGGAAGGGCAGCGCAGAGGGGCCGCAGGGAAAGGGGGAGGCGGCCCCCGGAGACCGGGTTTGCCTCACTTGGCCTTCCCAGGACCTCGGCTGGGAATCCCCACCCCCACTCCCTCCCCCCTCGGCTCCTCCTCCGTGACCGAGAGAGGGAGGGGCTGCGGGCCACTGCTTCCAGGCCTGCGGGTCCCTCACGCTCCCGAATCTTCCTCTCTGGACACGACCCTGAAATTTGAACTCTGCCCCATGCTCCCGCGTTCGTTTCCCCCAGGAAGGCCTGGGAACCGGAAACCACCCGCGGAGGCTGGACTAGGCCCCCTCTCCCGCCCCCTGGCCCGCCGACCCGGGCTCCGCTCCACGCCCCTCCCCGGGTCTGCGTCCCCCCCCCTCCGGAGTCCGGAGCCGCCGGCGGGCACACGGGCCTCTAACTTCTGCGTCTGCAGCGCAAGTCCGCGCCCTCTCGGCGCTCCCTCCGAGCACCCGGGACTCAGGCCGTCTGCGGCCTGCGGGCGCCGCGGCAACCCCCGGCGCGGCGGGAGGGCGGCCCGGCGGGAGGGCGAGATCGATCCGACCGTGCGCCGACCTGTCACTCCTTCGGGGAAACAAGCAGGTGTAGGTTCGGTTCGCCGTTCTGTCATTTTGTTACTCGGTGACCTTGGGCAGGTCACGACCTTTGTGAGTTTCCTCATGGGTCAGAGGGCGGATGAGGGTGGGCTGGGGTGAGGATCCAAGGCTGTTCTGCCCACGGCCCGGCCCTGCCCCGGGCTCTGCGTCCGTGCTGAGGGTGCGCACAGTGTGTGCCGGCCCGCACCCTGGCCGACCCGGCCCCTCCCGGCTGCGACGAGAAAGGGTTTCGCCAGAACCCAAGCCCCGGGGCTGCGGGCTTTCTGTAAGGACTTGAGAGCTGACCTCGTCTCGTGCGGTGCGGCGGGCAGTAGAGCTGAGGGTCTCTGTTCTTCCTGTATTTGCGTTTATGCGGGTGCAGCCCAGGACCGCGAGGGCAGCAGCTCGCCCGGGACTGTCTGGGTGGGCCCTGAATGTGATCCCATGGGTCCTCATGAGAGAGAGGCGGGGGGTTCCGACAGACCCCCAGGGAAGGCCCGGTGAAGAGGGGGTGGCAGAGGTTGGGGGGGCAAGGGCAGCCCGGGGCCGGAGGGGTGGGCGGTCTCTCCCTGCAGCACCTGGAGGGAGTGCCGCCGTGCCGACACCTGGATCCGGTGAGCTGGCCTCCGCGACCATGAGAACGCAGGTGCGTGCTGCCAGCCGCCGGCGGTGGCCACGTGGTACAGCGTCCAGGACGCTAAAGCTCTGTCGCAGCCGGGCTGGCCGGGGAGCCCTCCCCGCCTTCTCCCAACAACCCTGGCAGAGACAGACCTGTGCAGGAGCCCCCGCCCCCCAGGTGCCTGCAAGCTCACTGCTCAGCAAGCCCTGGCTCAGGGACCCTGGGCTGGGCAGGCTGGGGCAGGAGGCCCTGAGGCCACACTTGTCCCCCTGGTCTCCGAGGCCCCGGGTCCTCCTTCGGGCGCCACAGAGCTGGCCTCCCACAACTGGAGACAAGTGGGAGATGCGAACATCTCAGTTAACGTCTGAGCTTCAACGGGGACCTGCGCGATCCGTAGTAACCGCTCCACTACAGTCATTGCTCAGGCCCCCGGCACGCGCAGCCAGGAGAGAGGGTTGCTATGGTGACGGCGGGGCGCAGCGCGAAGGGCAGGTCTCCCAGGCCCAGGCTCTGCGTCTCAGTTTCACCAAGGCTGCCCTGCCCCCGGCCGGTGGGAAGCGGATCTTTAAGTCCCCGGCAACCCCACCACCATCTGCTGTCGTCCCCACGTTACAGACGCGGAGACGGATCGCGTGCCCGTGTCCAGGCCGCCGCGCAGGGTTCGGGCGGGGCTGCAGCGAGGCCAGCCTGTTCCCAGCCCCAGGCACACCGGGGCCTCCCGGCCGCCACTACTACGAGCAGGGAACGCAGCGGCCTTCGCGGGCGGGTCGGACTCACCAGCTCCCCCTCGTGGGAGCTGCGAGTGCCGTCAGCTGTCCGGCTCTCCGAGCGCACCGAGCGCACGGCCGGCCGTTCCCTGGGGGACCCCGGCCAGAGCTGCCCGAAGGCCCCACCCCTGCCCCTGCCCGCGGCTGCGGGGCCAGAGAAAAGAAGTTCCCGCTGGTTCCGCCTCCGGCCGGCAGGGAACTCCTGGGCCTCCGCCCGTGCTACTGATGAGCTGTTACCCCAGTAACGGGCGCCTTTGACCGCTCTGCGCTCCACGCTCCCCACCCCCCACCCGAGACAGCAGGGTGGGCTGTCCCGTGGCCCCCCGCTCTGCCTCGTCGGGCAGCCCCCAGCCCGAGGACAGGGGGACGCGCAGGGGGAGCCCCAGTGTGGGAACCGGGGCTCCCACGGCGTCTCTGACCGCCCCGGGTGCAGTGTCCTCGGCGACATCAGCCCGGGCCGCGGGGGCGCTGCTGTCTCCATGCCCCGGACACTCGGGGTTCCTGGAAAACCTGCCCGAAAGGCCCGCGCTCAGCTCCGCCACGGAAGCCGCTTCGCGCCCGGGCTCGCCCGGCCACGTGGCCGTTCACCCCGCAGGACGGCCGCCCCCGCCAGGCCTCTCCCGCGGTCGGGAAGGGGACAGACGGAGGGTGAGACGGCTGCGCACGCTCCGCTCAGTTAGGTGACGGCCACTGCGGGGGCAGAGCCCCCGAGTCCTGAAAAGACACGGAACGTGAGCCGGCCGGCCTGCGCTGGCCGAGACCCGGCTCGCGCGGAGGGGCGGAGCCCGAGCTGCGTGGAGAGCGAGGCCGGGGCGGGAGGCGTGGTCGGGGCGGAGGCCGCACAGGCGGCCGCGGTGCGGGGCGCGCTGCACGGCGGCCCCCGGGGCAGGCGCGTCCCTGCGTTGGGTTAGATCCACACGGCCGCCCTCCTGGGCCGGCAGGAGACCGAGGCCCAGAGAGGCCGGGGCACTCGCCAGGGCCACCCAGCTGGGGAGCAGCCGACCTGCCCTGCGGCCCAGGTGGCCCACGCTCCCGCCACCGCCGCACGGCCCCGCCAGGGGGCAAGGGCCGGGAAACGGAGGCAGAGACGGCCGGGAGAGGCGAGCTGGCACGGGAGGGGCGCGGGCCTGGGGCGCGGAGACGCGGCGGGGAACTGCTCCTGTGAAGGGCGCCGTGAACACAAGGGCCGAGCGTCACCGCCTGCGCCGGGCCCGCTGCCCTGGGAGACGCCCCACAGCCGACGACCTCACTGCGAAGGGCTGGCGCCCGCAGTCACGCCGGTGCCCCGTCCGTCTCGGGATGGCAGCTCAACGGCGCCCTCTCTGGCCAGAACGGGGGTTCGGGGTCACGTCGCTGCCGCTGACGGCCGGCGGTGACCCCAGGGGCACCCCGGGGGTGGGTGGGGCGCAGCTGCACCGCGCAGGTTCCGCAGGGGCCCGGCGCAGGCTGCGGGCACGCACACACAGGTGTGCACAGGCGTGCTCAACACAAAGGAAGCCCTGGAGGTCAAACTGTGCACGCACGCACGCATAGACGTGGTCCCCCAGAGAGCTGAGTGCGCATCTGCTCCTTGAGAAAACGCCCCGGCGGCCGGCCGAGGCTGCAAGCGGGGCCGAGACGCCGTGGTCCAGAGGGAAAGGGAAGAGGAAAGAAGTGGCGAATTTTCTCTGAGTCTGCCGCGGCCCAAACAAGCGAAGGCCGGAGGACCTCAGGCCCGGAAGGCCAGCCAGAGAGGAGAGGCAGTGTGGCCCGCGGCACCCACGGAGCGGGGGTCCCTGTGCACTCGTAGGAAGGGGCGCAGTGACACGCAGGGCGACGTGCACAGCATTTACACACTCGGGTGCAAGCCGCACGCACACAGGCTGCACGGCCGGCGCACACTTTTCACGCGGGGAGAGGCGGTTTCCCGAGGTCGCTTCCACGGAGCCCCAGCCCGGAGCCGGGCGCCGTGAGCAGGACGGTGCGTGACAGTGACAGAGGGGGACAGGTCACCACACGACCTCGGAGGAGGGGCGGCGGCGGCGCCACCTGCCCCTGAAGGCAACCGAGGGCCGGTCTCGAAACCGCGCGCAGAGACGCCCCCGAACAGACCAAAAGGGGGCACGGTGCCCCCTGTTCCGGTTCACATGACTTTCTCCGGTGGGTTTTTAAACGTCTGAGCAGAGAACACGAGTCAGAATAAAGACGACACTCTGGAAAATGGCCTGAAACCCGATTTTAAAAATCGGTGGGTAGGAGCACTCTCACCGGACAAAGAGGCCGGAAGCTTATTCCGCACAGGCTTGGTTTCCGTGCGGAGTCCTCTGCCCACCTCTCCCCCCCCTCTCTGTCTCTCTCTCTCTCTGTCTCTCTCCTTCCCTCTCTCCCTCTCTCTCTCCCTCTCTCTCTCTCTCTCCCTCTCTCCTTCTCTCTCTCCCCCCCTCTCTGTCTCTCTCTCTCTCTCTCTCTCTCTCCCTCTCTCCCTCTCTCTCTCTCTCCCTCTCTCTCCTTCTCTCCCTCTCTCCCTCTCTCTCCCTCCCTCTCTCTCCCTTTTTCCCTCTCTCTCCCTCTCCCTCTCTCCCTCTCTCTCCCTCTCTCTCTCTCTCTCTCTCTCCCTCTCTCTCTCTCTCTCTCTCTCTCCCCCCTCCCTCTCTCCCTCACACACACACACACACACACACACACAGCCGCAGTGCCCACCGGCGACCAGAGCCGCGAGCCCCGGAGGCCGGAGCGCAGCAGCCCTCACCTTTGTGCTGCCCCAGCGCGGACGCAGCGCGGAAATCCATGGAGCCCGTCCCGGCCTGCGCCGTCCGAGTGGCAGGCCGCTCCCCAGGGCCGGGAGAGGAGGAGACACGGCCTCGCGCGGGCCGGTGCGCACAGCAGCTGGAGCCAGCGTCTCCACCGGGACCTCCGGCCGGGGAGGACCAGACCTCGCGCGAGCTGCAGCTGTTGTCATGGCAAAGGACGGCAGCAGGGAAGTGTCGCTCCGGCAGACGCCCGCCGGGAGGAGGGTCACACCACGGCTCATTCATCAGCCCCGTGCGTGTGTAAGTGTCACACACCCGGCACCCCCGGGCCAGGATGCAGAAGAGTGCAAGCCCTAAAAAGCAGGGTTTGTGGCTGGGGGCACTGGCCTCGGACCCGGGCCAGGTGCACACCGGGTGTCACGGGGCTTCGGCGGCTGGACTGTGGCTGAACTGGCAGGCCTCCGTGGCGGGCGAGGCGCGCCGGTCGGACGGAGCGTGTGTGGCGGGCGGTGCAGCTGGGGCTGAGCTGTGCTCTGGGTGCGGGGACCAGCCGTGCTGGGGTCAAGCGAGCCGCGCAGGGAGGTGGAGCGGGAGGTGGGCGCCGCAGCAGGAGGCAGCTGGCCTCGGGGCGGCTCCGCTCCACCTCCCCGGGGCTCCTTCCCCGAGTGCCGGGGACGGGGGCAGGGTGGCAGCTCAAAGGCTCAGGCACCCATGGGACAGAAGTAAAGCTGCCGCCGCTGTCCCCAGGGTCTGCGGCGCAGCACACAGGCGGTGACACCTCCGGAACCCGGCTCAACGCCCGTCGTTCGAGCGCCGTTGAGCAAACGGCAGTGAATTTGAACCGGATGAAAACATCCGAGCTCCGTCTCTCCCTGTGTGTGTCAGGAGGAACGCCTCCAACCCGCGGTTAGACAGACAAGTCACGCCTGTCATCCGTCCACAGTTCACGGGCCGGTGAGGCAGGCGGGCCGCAGGGACCGCCGAGGGAGCTGGGGGGGGGGGCTTCCACACTGCCCCTCATCTGCCTTCGCATCGTCGGGGTCCTCGGCACAGGGGTCCACTGTTCGGCAGTCACAGTCCAGAACCTGAGGGAATGCACTCAGAACAAGCACACAGAGCTCCGCGTGCCAGGCCCGGCCAGACCCCGGGGTGGGGCGGCTGCGTCACCGACGTCCTCACACACTCACACACGCTGCTGCTGCTGCTGCTGCTGGTGCTGGTGCTGGTGCTGGGGGCGGGGCGAGGCCTGCCTTCTCTGGAGCTCCGTCCGCTCGCGGGCGTGGAAACGAGAGCGGAGACCGTTCCGCTGGTCCGCGGCCCCTGTGCTTCCACGCGGGCCGGCGTCCCTGGCCAGCCGGGGGGGTGCTTTCGCCAGAGGAGCCTCTCGCCTCTCCCGTCCCTCCCTCCCCGCGTGGTGACGAGTCCGCACCGTCACCGCCCCCGCCCCCGCCAGCCCCTCCTCGCTGCGCCCTGTGACCTTTTTACTTAAAGCACAGGCAGGACCTGCTTCTCACGAATGACCACCTGGAGCGCACGCCGTGGGTAACCTCCGTGGTTTCCCAGCGTGGGAGTTTGGGCCGTGGGAGGGGAACCCAGGGCATGGAGCCATGGAGGGTGGGGCGGAGAGACGTGGGCGGGCAGACGCTCGCTGAGGACAGACGCCCAAGGCCACCCGTGGGCGCAGGGGGGAGGATGTGGCCACTCTGTCCCAAACAGGGTTTGGCTGAACCTCCCCTTCGTTCGCTGTTTGTGGGTTCATCCGTGTCCGTGGAAGGGCTGCGCCTCCCGCTGCTTCCACAGGGAGGGGCGGGGCCACAGGGAGTGGGGCGGGGCCACAGGGAGTGGGGCGGGGCCGCCGGGAGTGGGCGGGGCCGCCGGGAGGGGGACGGGCACTGGGCTCACTCTCCGTCAGGAGCTGGGTCTGCGCTGGCCGCAGGGCGCGCAGGGAGTGGGTTTGCCCTGCTGCCCACACAGCTGGGAGACGGGGCAGAAGACCTGAAGCAGCGGTTTCCGGGCGGCCGGCAGCGCGGGCCAGCGGTTCCCGGGAGACGAGACAGGGGAGGGCCCCGCTGGGCCCGCGGTGGGGTGCAGCGTCCACACCCTGATCCTCGGAACCTGTGACCGTGACCGGATTCGGGGTCTTCGCACAGGAGGACCTGGAGCTGAAATCGCCCTCGGTTTTCCGAGTGGGCCCCAAATCTGATGACGAGTGTCCTCGTAACAGACACATGTGACCCGGAACTGGAGGCCACAAGCCATGGCACCACCGGAGCCACTGGACGCTGGACCAGGCAGGAACTGACCGTCCCCTGGGGCTCTCGGGGGGCCAGGGCGCCGCCCGGGCCTCGGCCCCGAGCCCCCGCTCTCCGGAGCTGCGCGGGAACGCACTCCCGGGTGCTCGGCTGCTGTGTCGGGCCGCTCTGCCCCAGCGGCTTCAGGGCACCAACTCGGAGGAGGGGCTCTCTGAAGAGGGGACACTCTCCCTGACCGCTCTGTCCCCGGGCCCGTTTCCATCAGCACCGAACCGAGTTAAAACGAGGACAATTTCCCGTCTGTAGGAGGGCAGGTGCGGGAGCATCTGGAGAAGGGCCGCTGGACAGAGCAGGGAGGTCACCGGCCCCCAGGGCCTGGTCAGCGCTGCGGCTTGGGCCGCGGGGCTGGGGGACACAACTTCTGGCGCCTGCGTCTCCGTCTGCGTGCGGTGTGGACCGTGTCGGCCAGCGTCCGTTTCCTGTGTGTGCGGCCACAGCCGAGCGCAAAGCTGAGTCCGAATCTCCCCTTCCTTCCCCCAGCCCCTCCTCGTCCTCCCCCTGCCCCCCACCCCCGCTGGGAAAGAAGTTTCTCTTCTCCCCGAGGGCCCCAGGCTTCCTGCTGGCTGTCCCCGTTGCCCACAGCACGCCCCGGGAGCAGGTCGGCCTGCCCGTCGGGGGCCGGGGCTCTGCAGCCCGGCCGAACCCAGTCCCGCAGCAGCGCAGCCCAAGCGGTGCCTTCCTGTCCTCGCCTGCAAAATCCGACCCTTTCCGCCTCTCCCTCGCTCGGGCTGATTCAGCACGCCAGGGTCTGGGGCAGTGCCTGACACACGGCGGTTCCTACCACGTCCACTGCTGTTGTTGCCGGAGACTTCCCCACCTTTCCGGCAGCCGCGTCCTTTCCCTCCCTCCGGAGCCCTGTCCCAAGCCTGCGTGTGAGCGCACACTCCCAACCCCGAAACAGAACCAAAGAGAACAGAACCCCGATGTTTCTCCAAACGGGCCGCCCTCCCTTCCAGCCACCCAGTCTCCTCCGCGCAGCCTCCACTCCACGGCTGCCGAGGGCGGGCTGCACTGCGCACCCGCTCCACGGGATGGGCTCCGCTCGGATGGACGGACACCCGCTGTGATGGACAGACTCCCGGTCGGGTGGATGGACACCCGCTCCACGGGACGGGCTCCGCTCGGGTGGACGGACACCCACTGTGATGGACAGACTCTCGCTCGGGTGGACGGACACCCACTCCACGGGACGGGCTCCGCTCGGATGGACGGACACCCGCTGTGATGGACAGACTCTCGCTCGGGTGGACGGACACCCACTCCACGGGACGGGCTCTGCTTGGATGGATGGACACCCACTGTGATGGACAGACTCTCGCTCGGGTGGACGGACACCCGCTCCAATGGACAAACTCCCGCTCGGATGGACAGACTCCTGCTCCGATGGACGGGTTCCTCTCAGGTGGACGGACACCCACTCTGATGGACAGACTCCCGGTCGGGTGGATGGACACCGGCTCCAATGGACAGACACTGGCTCCGATAGACACTGAAACAGTGGGGTCCCACGTATCCCGTGGCTGCACTCAGGTTGATGGGTGGTTGGCAACCCCTGCTAGGAAAACGTGCCCACTTAAACACGACTTCCCACATGGCCTGGTTACACTCCTCCTTGGAAGGTTTAGCATGGATTCTAGGAAGTTGCTTTGCAGTAAATGTCCTCAGTTCAGGGTGAGGGAGTTTTAGCAAGTCTCAAAGCGGCCTGGGTACATTGCAGGCCTGATTCCCCACGGGAGAACCTGTCCGTGGGCGTGGGTCCTATGCATCTACCTCCCAGTGGGAGCTGGGCCCACGCCACGCAGAACAGTCTCCTACATGTCTCCAATCTCTCCTTCTCAGGGGAATCTTAGCCTCTGAGTCCCCCCGTCAGGTGTCCTGAGAAGAATTCCCGACATTCAGGAACTCGTGGCTGCTTCAGGGCACAGAGCTGCCCTGACCGGGCTCAGTCCGCAAACAGACCCGGAGAGTCGGAGACCAAACCGGCGACCGTCAGAGAATGACCGTGTTTTACTCGCAGAAAGGAAACACGACAGGGCCCAGGCCCTTGGTGGAGGCGGCCGAGGTGGCCCGCCCGTGGCGGGAGCGGAGCTCTGGCCATTGGGCGCCGGCGGGGGCGGGGGCGGGGTCTCCTTCACCCACAGTGCAGGGGGCCACGGTTTCACAATGCGGAGCAACACCAGCAATCCCTGTTTTGATTTCACATCTTTTCTAAGACACGGTTTTTAAAAATCTATTTTCTTTCCCGCTGAAACTGGTGTTGGAGCGAACAGATCTATATTAAGTTCATGAGGCAGAAAACTGGAATTTTAGTCGAACCGTCGTGTGTTTTATTGGGCCCATCTAACAGTGGGCTGTGGGTCCCCGCAGTGACCGCCCTTTTGGTGCTGCACTGACCCGGCCGAGTGTCTCCCGGTGAAACGACGCCTGGACCCCCTCTCTGGCCCAGTTGCCTCATCTGCGAGCGGTTTGCTGCGGCAGCTACGCACTCGGCAGGCGGTGGCCACTTCGCCTGGACGTGAGCTTCCAGAGCTTATACTCCGACTTTCCCCTCCTTCCCTCGGGGAGAGAAATTCCACTGAAACTCAAGTGGGGACGTGGGAACGTAAAAAGGAGATCTCAATTTGCAGCATGAAATTTTGGGCAGGACTGGGTTTGGGGACACAAAACGATCATCTCCAGGAGTTGGTTCTGGATTCACCCCGGAACCTCCCATCAGGCAGCCGGCCAAAAGTCCCCCGCACCCAGTTAAGCAGACGGAAATCCTGTCTGTGTAGGACCGTAGTCGCGCTTTTATCACAACACTCCTTTGTTGTGACTCAAGGTGCAGAGAGCCTCCCATAAAGGCTCTCCGTCTGACAAGGGGAGCGGGGAGAGGAATGGGGTGCAGCAGTCGGGTCCCCAACAGGCCTCGACGGGAAGGGGCCGGGAGTGGGAGGCCCCTCCGGCAGCGACGGCCCCGGGAGAGGAAGGTGCCGGCCGGCGGGCGGGGACTGTTCCGTCTGGGGGGACCGGCTTCCGAGGACCCCGTGCTCGCCGACCGCCCTCCGGCAGGGGGTCCCAGGCGGGGTTCTCCAGTGTTCCTCTCAGTGAACACCTGAGCCGCGGAGGGAGTTGGGGTGGGTGTCAGGGACCATTCACCGACCACAGATCAAGAAGGACGGGTGTCCGGGCGCTCACCCAGCGCCCGGCCCAACCTTCGGTGCCGAGACACCTAACGACCCGACACCCTCCTGGAGGAGCTGCCCGGCCTCGGACCTGCTGTGCCCCGACCCCACCGTCGGAAAAGAGAGGCTTTGTCCGTCGCGGCAACCCCAGTGTGCACGCGCGAACAGCGCACACGCTGCCTGGGGCGTCCCCTGCCCCTCCCCTGACGCCCCCCTCCCTCCTCTGCCGGCTCAGGATTCTGGGGGGGGTTACCTCCCCAGACCGCTGGTCCGAGCGAGCCCTGTGCTGGCGCAGCCTGCCCTGCGCCGGGCCAGTGACATTCACCCACCCCAACGCCCCCCCCCCAAGCCAGTGCCGGGCGCGGCCGGGGGCGGGCAGCTCCCCGAGACCCAGCCCCGGGGAGAACCGAGTGAGAGTGCAGGAGAGCCCCGGCCCAGCCCTCTGACCTCACGCGGGGCGGGGCCCAGGCTGCAGCGGTGTGCGGCCCAGGCCGGCGTCTCTGCCTCCGCGCTGCCCGCACGCACCGGCCCGTCGTCGCGGCTGCCCCTGGGAGGGGCGCCTCGGCCGGGTGCCTGCGCCTCGGGGACCCGGGCAGCGGGGCGTGCAGGCGTCCGGAGAAGGCCAGGCTGCACCTCGTGGTCCCCGAGACGCCTCTCCGAGGAGCCCCCCCCCCCACCCCCACCGGGTGCCGGGTCTCCGCCCCGCCCCCTGCCGTCTGTGCGCTGCCCGGCGGGCGGCGGGAGTGACTTCCGCACGACCACGGGGAGTCACGGTCGCTTCACGGTCGCTTCGCCGGGAGGGGAGCGTCCCCGACGGAGGCCGCTGTCTCTGAACTGAAGCTGCTCTGACCGGGGACCCCGGCTGCGTCCGCAGTCAGAGCTGGGCTCCGCGAGGGCCGGTCCAGAGAGAAACACCGCGTTCCCGGGCCGCGGGCAGCCCGCGCTGTCCCGGGGTGCGGGGCGGGTCCCCTCGGGGGCGAGGCCCAGGGAGCCCCTCTCGCCGGCTCGTCCGCCGGTTCGCTGTCTTCTTCCGAGAGGCGCCTGCTCAGGACCCCCCCCCCCCGGCCCCCCCCGTTTTAAAAACGGTGTTGTCTTCTGCCTGTCAGTTCCCAGAACTAACACTGTGCCTTCTAGACACGAGTCCTTCGTCTGGGTGTGGTGCGTGTGTGCATGTGTGTGGTGTGAGTGCGTGTGTGTGGGTGTGTGAGTGCATTTGTGCACGTGTGTGTGTGTGCGTGTACACACCTGAGGTTGGCTCTGCGGCTCTCTTACGCTGCCATCTGTTAGATCAAAGTTCTTACTGTAATCAAATTCAGTTCACCAGCACGTCCGTGGGTCCTGTTTTAGGGACGGCGGCCCGCCCCGAGGGCCTGCGTTTCCTCCCAGAAGTTTTATCGTCTCACCCTCCACCTGCAGCCTCTGACCCACCGCGGGTGCATCTCTGCGTGTGGCGTGGGCACCGAGACCGTGTGAAAACTGGGTTCTTCGCGTGTTCGGGCGGCGCCCCCATCCCAGTTCCCCGAGCCCCGCGGCCCGGCCCTCCCTCCCCACGCACGGCGCTGACGCCCCGGGTGCGGCCCTTCCGCGGTTTTGGTGGGAACCCCGGCAGAGCCGCCGGCCGCCTCCCCACCCTCCGTAGGAGGGGCGTTGGGCTCTGCCTCCCGACCGCGGGCATCCTGGCCAGCTCTCCACGCCCTGCTGACCTCCGCCCTTCTCTGCCCGTTCCTGCCCTGTGCGCTCGGCTTGGAGCCCGGCTTGGGGGACGTGCGTGCGGAACTCGGGTCGCCTCCTCGGCCGCTCTCCCTTCCCCGGGGCCTGGCTCCCCGAGCAGCGAGCGCCCAGGGACTGCAGACTCCGGCTGCTGCCCCTTCAGCCCGGTGCGAATGCCGGCCGGTGCACCCGCGTCCCGCCGCGTCTGTGAGCACCCTCAGGGAGACACCCGGGGTGCGAGTGCGGCACACACGGGGGGCTGCCCCTCTGGGCCGCCCGTGCCCGCTGCCACCAGTCCCCGCACGCGAGTGTGTCGTGTGTCCTGTCTGGTGTTTGCAGCTGTGCTCGGGGTCTGCGTTGCCGTGGTGCAGGCTGTTCCCTCGTGGCCGCGCGAGCAGGAGTGTCTCCGTGGGAAAGGGACACAAACTGGCCCGCCCCCTTCCCAGGGGTCACCGGCTCACCCCAGCCCCGCGGCCGGCGTGGGAAGGAGGCGATGGGAGGGAGGGAGGGAAGGACGGCCAGTGCTTGTTCCCTCGGCGCGGCCGTGCCAGAGCAGTGGGGGCAAGTGTGATGCTTGGACATAGTGTGAAAACTGCATTTAAGGAATTGACTCTGATGATTCGATGAACCGAACTCATGCCGTTTCCTGTTCGCTTCAGAGGAAAGGTCAGACAAAACCACACGTGACTCCGGAACTTTCCCGCGTGTCCTGACTCTCGTGGACAGACCCTTCGTGGACCACACTGGCCGGAAGGAGGAGCACATGCAACCTGACTCTCCTGGAACTTTGAGATAAAATAAAACTAATTTAAAACAACAAATTCCTAAAAACTCAGAGGTCGGGCGACCAAGCTTGTGTGAGCAGCGTAGGGGGGTGAGACCCGGCCGTGCGAATCGCTGGACACAGCTGGGCCGCCTGGTCCCGCCTCGGCCAACCCCCGGCGAGCGGCGCGTGGCCCCCGTGACCGGCTCTCAGACCCAAGGCCCCGGCACGGACGGACGTCTGGACAAAACCGAACTCTGGCCGGGAGCACAGGGTGGGCGCGGGGAGGTACGGTGGGCAGGTCTGGGGTGGGGGGCAACCACTGGTCCTCGCCGCACCCCCTGTGCTTCACCTGTGGAGTGGGGGGCCGTCCTGGGTGGTTTAGAGGGCCGAGTTAGGGACTAAAGGCAGTAACACGCGGGGCATTCCTCCAGAGTCCCCCCACAGCCTGCTTCCAAACCTCCGAGCATCTCCTGGGCGCACTCTGACGCCGGCACAACCTGCAGCCGGGCAGGCGGAGCGGCCTCCTCCCACCACGCGGCTCTGCCGTCTCAGCGCCCCGCCTCTGCGCCCCCTCTCAGAGCACCCCCAGTCTCAGCGCCCCGTGCCACCACAGGCGTTCCGCAGGCGTGGGCTGCGGTCCAACCCACAAAAGTGCACCCACGCACGGTCTGTGTCCACTCACTCACTCACCCACCCACCCACCCACCACCTGTCAGGCAGCACACCCTTGCCGCCGGGACCTCACTTTACAGACGATAAAACTGGGGTTCGGGGAACAAGTCGTTTGAGACGACAGGGCTGGTGAGTGGCCTAGGTCTGTCTGTCATTGCGGCCTGCGACCCTTTGGGACTGGCTTTCCCGCCGGCCTGCCCATGGTCACAGGCACCAGGCTCAGCCTAGAGGGAAGGGCGTCCACTCACAGCCCCGGGCTGGAGGGCGTTTGTCCCCGGACCGGGGGACCCGGGGCTGTGCTGTGCCGCGTCTCGCCAGCAGGTGGCAGGCTGGGATCAGCCCGGCTCCGGCCTCCAGGGCTGCGGGGCGAGAGGGCGCTTCCTGGCAAAGGGCAGAAACCAGACTCACCACTGCGGGGCCCCGCTCCTCCGGCTCCACAGGAAGTGAGAGTGCGGGCCAGCCGGCCTTTCCGCCACTGAGAGGGGCCTCTCGTGGCTTACACACGTCCCTCCCATGAAAGAGTGAGCGTGGGCGCCGTCCCCACCTCGCCCCGCCGAGACCGCCCTGCAGCAGCGCGGGGGGGGGGGGGGGCACGGGGCCTTGTCTCTGAGCTGGCGGCGCCCGGGCGGGGCTGGCCGGGCACGAGGCACGAGGCGCTCCGGGGGGAGCTCATGGTGGACGTTCTCCTCCAGGAGGCTCTCGGTCACCATGTGCTCTCGGGGCCTCAGTGCCGCCCCCCAGTGACAGGACGGCAGCGGTGATTCCTGCATGCGTGTGCCGCACTCTGAGGGAGAAGGGACTCGCCCGAGCGCCTGTCCACAGACGGCTGGTGCTGCCACGGCCTGAGCCACAGTCACGGGCCATGTCCACGGCGGGCGTTTTCGGAGAAGGACGCGACCACCGAGTGGCGGGCAGAGCATCGAGGACCCCGCAGGGCCAGGGCCTCCCTGGCGGCTCCTCCTGCCCACGGCGCGGTCCTCTCCCACGGGAGTCCCCACGGGACCCGCCGTCTGCCCTGGCTCCAGCCCCACCTTCTGCAGCCCTGTTCCTAACTCTGTCTTTGTGACCCGGCTCCGATCTGTCCAGCCCCCGGCTGCCGGGTCCCGCCCACGGTGCCGGGCCGCAGGGTCACCCCTGGAGCCCAGCCCGCCTGCCTGGCACACGCTCGCCGCTCTGCCTGTGCTCCCGCCCCCTCCTCCTTGACCCTGACCCCATGCCCGCGGGGCCCCTCCCCGGAGAAGGCCTCCACCCCACGGCCCACCTGCACGTCCATCTCCCGCTGCCCTGACCAGCAGACTGCTGGACACGCGAGGGCCCGGGCTCGTCCTGGCAGTCGCCCCGAGCGCCCGTGTGATGGGAACGGCGAGCCCGCCCGGCGCAGAGAGCCCTGGGGGGGGGTCTGACGAGGGGGTTCACGTGAAGTGCCGTCCCGGCGTGGCGCAGCCGCTCCTCTGGCACCGAGCCATCGGCATCAACCGGACTGGACTGCCACGTGACGCTTCTCCGGGGCCCGTTCCGGGCTGGGCCCGGCCGCTCGCGTCTGACGGCGCCCCTCGCTCCGCCTGGCCAGCACCTTCCACGCGGTCTCACCGCTCGCTCAGCCGGGCCCGGGACTCCCGAGGGGACCCGGCCCTCGAGTCGACTCTCAGCACAGCCACGGAGTGGCCAACGGGGGCGGGGAGTGGGGGGGGCCGCTGCCACGTGCCCAGGGCCCCGCAGTTTTCTGACCACCCGGCGTCCTCGGGGCGGAAACACACACGTCAGCACACACACACACACAGAAGCCTTTCCGCCTGGCTGGGGTGCCGCCTGCGGGGCAGGGAGGAGAGGGGACAGGAGCCTGGGCGGGACCAGAGGAGGCTGAGGAGGAGCAGGACCCGGCCCCTCTCTCAGCAGGAGGGCCCGGGAGTGCGCGGCAGCACCCCTGTGCCCCAGCCTCCCGCTCCCACCCCCCGGGGCTCTGCGTACCAGTGGGGAACGGCGGCCTGGCTCTGGGGCTCCGCGTCCTTCTGTGTTATTTTCTCGCTCTCCGAGGGAGCACCAACTGTGCCCGCTGTCCCCGCCAGGGGCCAGGGCGGATGTGGCTGCAAAGCTCTTCTCAGTCCCAGAGGAAGGTGACCATCCCTGCAGTCCCAGGGGGACCGGGCTCCGGTTCTCAGGCCCTTTGTGTGCGGGCTGGGAACCCCAGGGTCAGAGTCCGGGACCTGTCTGCAACGCGGCTGCCTGGTCTCAGGCTGCGCCCGGGCCTGGGGCTCCCCCCGGGGTCCCCTGCTGATTGCGAGGAGCCAGCGCAGGGAGCTGTGCGACCGCCCGGGGAGAAAGCCCGCATATTGGAAAGGGATGCCCAGAGGGGCAGGGGTTCGGGAAGGGCGGTCACACCGGGTTCTGCCGTGCACAGCGGTCAGTGCCAGCGCCAGGCGGCGTCTCCCTGTCCCCCTTTGTGAAGCAGGTTAACAGCTGGACTCGGGTCTGGACCCAAGACCGAAGTTAATGTAATGAGGAGAGCTGAGCAAAGTCTCCTTGGGGACACCAGGAATGAGCAGCGGTTTCTGTCTCTTTCCCGCACAAGGCCAGAGGTGGGCGCAGACCGCTGAACCCACCCGCGCGCCCACCCCCCAGCTCCACCCCCGGGGCCCTGCCTCCCCAGGGCGGGTCACTCTGGTCTCTCCCATCTGGGGGCCATCAGCCTGTTCTCCGTGGCTCCGGGTCTGTTTCCGTTTTGTCCACTACAATTCTGTTCTTTAGATCCCGCGTGTGAGTGAGGTCACTTGGTGTTTGACTTTCTCCGTCTGAACTGTTCCACTCAGCACAGTACCCACAGGTTTACCCGAGTTGCCACAGATGGCGAGACTGCATTCCCACTTACAGCGGAGCCGTCCTCCACTGTGTCGATGTGCCACGACCCCCTCACCCCCCCCCCCCATCTCTCCGCGGGCACTTCGGCTGCTTCCAGAGCTCGACTACTATAAATAATTCTGCACAGAACGCCAGGGTGCATATGTCTTTTCAAAGTAGTGCTTTGGATGTTTTTCAAATAAATACCCAGACACAGAATAGCTGAATCATATGGTAATTCTATTTTTAATTTTGGGGTGACCTTCCATACTGGTTTCCGCAGTGGCTGCCCCAGGCTGCATCCCCACCACCAGTGCACGAGGGTCCCCTTTCCCCACAACCTCGCCAGCACTTGTGGTTTGTGGATTTATTGGTAGCCATTCTGACAGGTGTGAGGTGGTATCTCATTGTGGCTTTAATTTGCATCTCTCTGATGATTAGTGACATTGAACATCTTTTCACATGTGTATTAGTCGTCTGTATTTCCTCTTCGGGGAAGTGTCTGTTCAGGTCCTTTGCCCGTTTTTTAATTGGATTGTTCTTTGATGTTGAGCTGTGCGAGTTCTTTTTTGGATGTTAGCCCTTTATCAAAAAGATCTTCTATTCAGTAGGTAGCCTTTGTGTTTTGTTGATGGTTTCCTTGGCAGTGCAAAACCTTTTCAGTTTGATGTGGTCCAATGTGTTTATTTTTACTTTGGATTTTTTTGCCTTAGGAGACATACCTAAAAAACATTTCCAAGGCCAATGTCAAAGAGTTTATTGCTAACATTTTCCTTTGGCAGTCTTACAGTCTGTGGCCTTACACTTAGGTCTTTAATCCACTTTGGGTTTACCCCTGTATGTGGCATAAGAAAGTGGTCTAGCTTTTCTTTCTTTTTTGCTTATATCTGTCAAGTTTCCAAAAGCATTCAATGAAGAGACCGTCTTCACCCCATTGTGTATCCTTGCCTCCTTGGGCAGATTTCTGGTTTTAATTCTACTACCAGCTCACAGGACTCCCGACCAGAGCAGAGCCCCTTTTTGTACACGCAGTTTCACTGGAACACAGCCGTGATCATTTATTCACACCTTGTCCGCGGCAGCTGCACCGGTGGAGTTAAGTGACTGTGGCAGAGAGCGTGAAGCCTTCAGCACTGGAAACATTTCCAGTTTGGCTTTTTACAGAAAAAGCTTGCAGGCCCCTAAGCCAAAGATGGCATTTCCAGCCTCCCTTGCAGCTAGGCCAGGTCATGGGACCGGCTGTGGTCCAAGGAGATGTGCGTGAAAGTGACAGAGGAGTCTGCCGTGTCTGGGCCTTGAATGATGGGCTGTATCTGTCCTTTCCTGGCCTCTCTTCCTATCCTTTCCTGCGAAGGTCCCGGCAGTAGACATTTCAGACTCTGTGGGCCACAGAGTTTCTGTTCAACTACTCAGCTCCACCCTCGGGGCACAAGAGCAGCCACAGACGATACACAAATGAGCATCGCTCCGTTCCGGAAACTCTCTGTTTACCAAAGCAGGAGGTGGGGCAGATTCACGTGCAGGCTGCGCGGTGCTGACCTTCGCCCTGAGAGGCGGCTGGGTGACACAGGGAGGGGCTGCATTCCTGAACGGCCACGTGGGAGAGCCGCCAACCTGGACCGGTGATCCGAGGACCAGAGCTGTGCGAGGAAAATAAACAAGTAAACAAGCCGACTTACGTTAGCCACTGTCTGTTTGGGCCTCTGCCGTGCAGGGTAGCCTCATGTGACGGTTCTCGGGCGTGCGAGCGGTGGGCGTGCGAGCGGTGGGATTGTGAGTGGTGGGATTGTGAGTGGTGGGCGTGTGAGAGGTGGGCGTGTGAGTGGTGGGATTGTGAGTGGTGGGCGTGTGAGAGGTGGGCGTGTGAGAGGTGGGCATGTGAGTGGTGGGTGTGAGTGGTGGGATTGTGAGCGGTGGGCGTGAGTGGTGGGTGTGTGAGTGGTGGGTGTGTGAGAGGTGGGCGTGTGAGAGGTGGGCGTGTGAGTGGTGGGATTGTGAGTGGTGGGTGTGCGAGCGGGGGGCGTGCGAGCGGTGGGTATGCGAGCGGTGGCCAGAACAGGGAGGCAAGTGCTCGAGTGTTCGACCCACACCCTACTGCTAACATTTACAAAGGAACGCTCCCGAGCGCTGTCGTGAGCCGGTCTCCGCACAAAGTTTCGAGGATGAAAAGATAAAAAAGACGCGTTCTCTCCCCTCGTGAAGTACACCCACTTCACTTGTGGTCTGCACTCCACTGTGAAGGCGTCACGAGCGATCTGTAACGTCAGAGGTAAAGTTTTAGAGTTTGTGAATGACGTGTTGTGCGGTGGGGGTTGGGGGGTGTTCCCCCGAGACCTTGGGCCAGCCCCGCCCTCCGTCCGAGGCACAGGTGGGGGACCGGACCCCTCCAGCCCTCAGCGGTGGGCATGGGGGCGGCTGGGCGGGCGGCCCCCACGGCCCCTTGTCTCTCCCTTGTTTGTCGCAGTGGACGGCGAATCCACGGCCATTTTCCCTGGGCGCAGACGTGGAAAACGGCGGGTGCACCCTTCTGACCGAGGTCACCGCACTGCGTCACTGCGGGTGGTCGGCATCGGGCGGGGACTTCCCCCTGAACTCTCCCGCCAGCCCCCATGGGGGGAACAGGTGGGGAGCAGGTCTCGATGGAAGGCGACGGGAGTGTGGGTTCCAGGCAGGCTGTGCGGAGGGAGGAGCTGCCCAGAGCAGGGCCCGGGGTGGGTGCCCGGTGGCCCGGAGCTGGGCACTTATCGCGGCAGGAGAGAGGCCCCGCACCCCCAGGCAGGGGCGTAGCCTCGGGCCCCTCGAGGCCGCGGCCAGATGGCGAGTGCAGGCGGGCTCTGCGCCTGAGCCCGCGGCGTGAATGCGCACCGGGGGCCCCGGGCTCCCGGTGACTCACCGGAGACGGCCCACGCGAGTTGGGAAGGGTCGGTGAGTCATCCCATCTGGGCCGTCTCGGAGGACACAGGCCCCGACAGTGTCCCCTGAAGGGATGACACTTGGCCGCCCCGTCCCTCCCCGGCGTCCCGGCCTCGCCCCCGCGCTCCGGGCCCTTTCCCAGGACTTCCACTCCCGGGGTCAGCGCTCGGGCGGCCGCCCCTCCGGCCTCGGGGGCCTCATTGTGAGCGCTGACTTCTCGCCCCGCCTGCTCAGAGCTGCCCCAGCCAGACGCGACCGGCGTCTCCAAAGGCGCCCCTCCCCGCCCCCCAGGGGCTGCTTCCTGGCGGGCCCCTTCCGTGGCAGAAGGGACCGGCCTCTGAGGACTGAGGCCAGACGGGCAGCTGGGCCGATGGCGTCCAGCAAGGGCTTCGGGAAGCTCTGCCAAGCCCCCGCCGCTGGCCGGCCCCCGCTCCGGCTCCCCCTGCCCCGTCGTCTGCTCCCTCAGCCAAGCCTTTCAGCCCCCGGCTCCGCCCTGGCCCGGCCCAGCGGGGAGGCCGGCGAGAGGACCCGACGCAGGAAGTGGGACGCCCCTTCCAGCGCCGCCCGACCGTGCGACCCGCCTGTCCTCCCCCCCCACCCCCGCACACCCCTGCGGTCCAGAGGCTGCGTTCGCTCGGCCGAGGGGGGGCCCGGTTGGCCCACACACCACGGGGGACTCGCACTCGGAACTATTTTCAAACCAGAGTCTGAATCCCAGGAAGGAGCGGGCCCACGGAGACCCCAGGGGAGGCCCCGGGGAGGGAGGGGCCGCGGAGGGCGGGGCGGGGCTGGACCCCCCCCTCGAACAATCCGAGTCCTCGGGAGAGTCAGCGCCTCGCCCCGCACGCCACAGTCGCGTCGGGACCAGGAGGCCGAGGCTTCCGTCCGCAGTCACGCTTCGGCCAGGTCCTCCTTCGAAGGTCTGGGCCGGCCCCAGGTCCGGTGCCTTTCTCTTTTCACACCGAAGCGGCGGCCGTGTCTCAGCGCGGCCTCTCCGTGCGCACAAAGCTCGCTGCCGGCCGGCGCTGGCACCGACTGCCCCGTCCCCCGCCCCCCACCCCAGGTTCCGGGCTCCCCAGACGCCGAGCCCCTGACGGGCCCTGTCACCGCGTGTGCTTCTCGTCGCAGCCCGCGGGGGCAGACGCCCTTTCTGCACCCAGCAGGGGCCGGTGGTGGGGGAGGAAGGGAGCAGAGAAAGGCCGAGCCGCGTGGTCGAGGACACCCCTCTGTCACCGGGCAACAGAAACCGAATTCTGGAGCCCGAGTGGGGCCCAGGGCGCGGTCCCCGCCTCCTCCTCTGTGGAGTGAGTCTCTTGAGTTCGGCGAGTGTGGGGGCGGCAGTGACCGCCGCAGGTCGGGCTCAGGAGTCCCAGCGCTGGAGCCCACTGCTGCCTGCAGAGCAGGAACACCCGTCTCCCTGTCGCGGGGGCCCCGGGAGGCCAGGACCCCCACCGCCAGGCTCCCGGCCGCTGTGGGAGCTGGAGGGGCGGGTCCTCTCCTGCACGGCCAAGGGTGCTCCCTGGCCGCCCGGTCCAGGGCACACAGCTGTCCGGCTGTGCCAGCTCCTCAGGAGCCCAGGAGGGCGGTCCCGCAACGCCCACCATGAGGTGCTGCCCCGTCAGGAGGGCTCCGTGGCCACCCTGGCAGTGACACCGGGTTAGATGCGTGCGGTCTCGCCCCAGGGCCCAAGAGCGCCCCCCAGAGGCCAGTCCCTCCGCTGTGCTCCTCCTAAGCCAGGGCTCAGAGCAGGGCCCCCGGCCCCTCCCGCAGTCTGCAGCGTGGGTCCAGGGCTCCCGGGCTCCCTGCCACGGACCCTCGGCTCCCCGCCCCCCCCACAGGCCTCAGTGCCGCTGGGTCTCAGGCGGGCTGCGGGCACTCGAGTCCCCTCCCCCACTGGAGAGCCCCAGGGTTCCGGCACCTGTGCGGCCACCTCTCCCCAGCCTCCAAGCAGCGCGTTTGATGGTCCTGACACACACTCAGGCTGCTGCTGCCTCGGCCGCTGCAGTCACAGCCCGATGCCCGGGGCGGGGGGGGGGCTCTGCTTTTGCCTCGAAGCTCCCACGTGCACTCTGGTCCCAGGAGCCAGGAGCAGGCCGGCCACGCCCCCACGCTGCCGCTGCCCCTCCCTCGGAGCCCGCGACCGCTGTGCACAGAGCCCCAGAGCAGCCTCTCTGGGCCGCGGTCTCCCCCCATGTGCAGCACAGCTGGGGGCAGGGCCGGGCCTTGCTGGCCAGGCGTCTGGGCGCTGCTTCAGACGGACATGGGGGGGGCAGACTCCGGGGTCGCTCCGCACCTCGACTCCGCGGCAGTGCCACCTAGCTGAGGGGAGTTTCCAGCTCTTCCGCCCTCCTCTGCACCCCGGGGGCACAGGGCACAGGGAGTGCGGGCCGGAGACCGGGGCGCGGCGGGAAGGCCCAGAGCCTTTGGAAGGAGCCGACGGGCACAGTCCTGGGGGTTCCGCTCCCTCTCCGCTCTGCTTTGATCTGGGCCCAGCTGGACGCAGAAGGCCCTGGACTCCGGCCACAGCCCCGGGCCCCGGCCCAGAGCCGCTCCTGCGGGCCGTGGGGCCTCTCTCTGGGGGAGGGGGTGCTTCCTCCCAGCTCTCCCTGCACCCACCGGGGGCAGGTCTGGGTGCAGAGACCACAGGGCACGAGGGTGTTCTCCCCCCGCCCCCCCCCCCCGTGGGGGCCGAGGGCTGGGCCCAGGCAGCACCCTGCAGAGGTGCAGACGGTGAGTGTCGCCCTTTCTTAAGGGCCTCCTGTCGCTGGGCCCGTGCAGGCAGCGTCCCGTCAATCCGAACGGAAACACCAGGGTGGGGCGGGGCATCCTCCCGCTTCCCGCGGAGGGCGTCGAGGTGGGCGCGGCGCACCCAGGATTCGTCCCCCCCCCCCCGGCTCGTGCGGGAGCAGGGGCCTGCGCCCCAGGTCCCCGGCCTCCGGCCCCCGCCCCCCACGGCCTCCCTGCGGGGAACCGGCCAAGGCGGCGTCAGCCTGCTCCTTGACTGGACTGTCCATTTCATCTCTCAGAAACATGGGGAAACCCCACGGAACTGTCATTTCCGCGGAGGACCCCAGCCGGAACACACGGCGAAGCGCGCTCTGTGGGGAACCCGCTCGCTCACCTCCGAGCCGGCCTCACCCCCCTGCCCCCCCCGCCCCCCGGCCCAGGGCAGCCGCACCTCCCGCTCGCTGCTCTCGGACTTCGCCGCGGGCGCCGGTCCCCGGTCCCGTCCCGGCACCGCTGTCCCGCGGTCGTGGGCCCGGCCAGGGGCGTTGGGGGGTGGTCAGAGGCGCAGAGCTCAGAGCTGACCGCCGCCTCCCGGGGGCCGAGCCTCCGACGACGCCGAGATGAAGTGAGTCCTGGACTCTCAGCCTTCGCAGCAGAGAGACTTCGGGCATTTTACCTGCCGGTCACGGACGTTTCACTCTTACAGAGAGGGCGAGGGGGGGCGAGGGGGGGCGAGGGGGGGCGACATGGGTGGGAGAGCGAAGCGCCGCTCGCTTGCCCGCCGCGGGTGCCCTGACCTGGGACCGGCCAGGACCTTTCCCTCTGCGGGCTGACCCCGACTCACTGAGCCACACGGGTCAGGCGAGCGAGAGCTGTTGTTTGTGACAAGGGTTCCAGCCGTCCTGGAGCCGCAGCGGCAGCGGCAGCGGCAGCAGCTCGCTGTGACTGCTGTCCCCGACATCCCTGCTGGGCTGCAGGCCCCGCCCCCGCCCCCGCCCCCGCCCGGGGCTGGAAGGGGGCGGCGCCTGGCCCGCTGGGCGGGGCCGGTGCCCGCTGGGCGGGGCCGGTGTCCGCTGGGCGGGGCCGGTGTCCGCGCAGCACCGCCCCTCCGCCAGCCGCAGCCCAGACGGGGCCGCGTCTGGGCCCCTGGGCTCGGACCGCTGCCCGGTTCTGACCGTGGGTCTTCGCGGATGGAACCGCGTGAGCAACCTTGGGTCAAGGAGGGAGGTCGCGTCGTCCTGGATGTGGCAGGTGGGCTCGGAATCCAGTGACGAGAGACCCCCGAGAGGACGGCAGACGGAGGCTTGAGGCGGAGCGGAGAGGACACGCGTGGGAGAGGGAGGGGCTCCGTGGCCCCCCAGAAGGGAAGGGCGACAACCACGGACGCTGGGAGAGGAGAGGCGGAGCGCAGGCCGCCCCCGCGGGGCCCGGTGGGGGGCGCTGCTGAGTCTCGAGTCTCAGGCTGGAGACTCAGGCTGCGCAGGGGCGGGCACTCCTCGCGGCGGCCCGGGACCAGCACAGACGCCACACGTCGGGACAGCCCTCCGGGGTCCCACGTGACCGGCACAGGCGCTCGCATCCGGTCCACGG